AGATTCTGATAAATGCGAATCAAAGATAAATAAGTAACAAGCTTGGTTTCTTCTCACATGAACTAAGGAGCATTAATAATGATTAAGATTGTTTTAACAGGAGAAAACACTTTAAGTAAATGCTTCTTCATAACATACAAACGTCGTAATTCTTGATTGTGACTAAGGATTTCTAAGACTGGGTGACAATGTGGCAGAAGGGTTGTAGCAGTGCTGGGGCCTTGTGTGAGTCGGTAAGTTTTCCCCATGTTTTCATGTTTGCATAGGCTTCCCCTAGGTACTCCAATTTCCTCCCACAGTCCAAAGACATACTGGTTGGTTAATTGACTTCTGTAAAAATTCGCCCCTGGTGTTTATGTAGATTTTTGTCTGTGTGTGCCCTGTGATGGACCAGTGTCCCATCTAAGGTGTATCTTGCCTTGTTACTGTAGCTTGCCATCTGGCTCCCTGTGATCCTGTGCTGGATAAAGCAGAGATGTTTTTTTCTTAAAAGAGTTAATTAAAAAAATAGCCAGCAGCCATATCACCCTGCAACTCACAACTGGCAACCCACTGAAGCAGGTGTGAGCCTGGTCAGTACCTGGATGGGAGACCTCCTGGGAAAAACTAAGGTGTTAGTAGGGTCCGCAGGTGGTTCTCACCCTGCGGTCCATGTGAGTCCTAATGCCCCCAGTATAGTGACAGGGACACTATACTGTAAGAAAGGTGCCATCCTTCGGACGAGACGTAAAACTAAGATCCTTACTCTCTGTGGTCATAAAAAATCCCAGGGTGTTTCTCGAAAAGAGTAGGGGTGTTACCCCGGTGTCCTGGCCAAATTTCCTATTGGTCCTTACCAATCATGGCCTCCTAATAAACCCCATCTATGAACTGGCTTCATTATTCTGTTGTCCTTCCCACTTATAGCTGATGTGTGGTGAACGTTCTGGCACATTATGGCTGCCGTCGAATCATACAGCTGAGGCTACACATTGGTGGTGGTGAAGGAGAGTCCCCAGAAAAGTTTTATATTAGTATAAATATTATATAATATATTATAATTATTATTATTATTATGATTATTATTATTATTATTATTATAAATAATTGTGTTTAGAAGCTCGTTAAACATTTAAAGTGTAATTTCCAACCTGCAACATAATTTTACAGAAACGTACTTTAAAAACCCAAACTACCTACATATCTGGATAAAAAAATAAAAGTTATTAGATACAAGCAAGACATGACCTGGCCTATATACATGTCAACAACTACGAATTGTATAAAGTAGAAAAATTAACTGTTGTGGTTTATATCAATAGGACTGCTGCAGTATATACTCTACAGTGTCTTTTCATTGTGTAAGCTGCACTCCAATGAATACTGGAAGGACTTTGTTTTAGATTCCTATTCTGTATAAGCTGAGCAACTGCCAGTGTGAACCACAACCTTGAGGACTAGCATTTCAAGCTCATTCTCTTGTGAGTCAGATATCAGCATGTGCAGCCCAACACAGCATGAGATGATAAGTCACTGAGCCGCACTGTATTGTTTAGGGTCAACACAGAGAAAGAGTGGAAGAGAATGATTGCATCCACCATCATATAATCAACATGCCACTACTTTCAAATGGCTCTGGAAATGTGGAAACCATCTATGCTGTTGTTGTTTTTGATTAGACTTTTGGGACACTAATTTTTAAATGAGCAATTTAGCAAGGATATTTTGAGGATGGCAAAGCCACACAGGCAGCTATGTAGCAGCTCTAATGTTATTTTAAACAGTTCTTTCACTAAGAATGACAAGAAATAGAATATACAGATATGAAATAAATTAGCATGGGATATCATATCATGAAGATTCAAGAAAGTGTGAAGTTTCATCTAAGTAACTATAGAGGAGCCTTAAGAGTTGATGAATGATAATATATAGGAATGTCTCCATAATAATGTACAGCATAAGTGTTTATAAATATAAAGAGCTTATACATACAGATGATGATGATGATGATGCACATACATATGGTTTTTCATATATATTTATATTATATTTGAAAAGAGAGAAGCCTAAATACTGTAGCTGTGTATAAACTTTCAGAAAATTATCTTCTTGCCTTGTGAAATACTTGTGAATGACTTTGTCAAAGGGTTGTCTGTTAAGAGACTTCTCTGAACGCAATATACTTAAAAAGCCAGATTAATAAATCTGTCTCAATGGGAATTTAAATAACTTTTACAGTTTCATCTGTGCCTATTTGTTTCTCTGAAGATTTATAACCCTGGGTCCAGATATGCATGTTTTTATCTGTTCTGTCTTTAGATTAAAACTGGATCATCCTGTGGAAGGGTCTGTCTGACTGCCATAATCCACAATTGGAGATGATCTTGTCTTTTAAAAAATTGCTACAACACAATATCTGTGCCAAATGAGAATACTTCTCTCCATGCATGTTATTTTCAGCCAGAGAACACTCTACATATGGCTAAACTGGTCTAATCACTTGGTATCAAGTGCTGATATACTCACATAGCCCCCATTATCAGCCAGGTGCAATCTGTGCGTGCTTAACAGGGAATTAAACATTTTCATGCTGCTCCCGGCACTTTAACTGATTGATGCTAAAAGTTTAGAAAATAAAACCTAACCAGCTATTGCAAAGCTCTTTTAAACCCAGCCTTCCCCTTTGAGAGCAGGCTGTTCTATTGAAACTGGCAGCTTACATTTTAGGTTTCAACTGGCTCTGTCATCTTACGAGGAATGTGTGTCTGCCACTTCACACAAGAGCTGGAGCTGAAAGACACATGTACTTTGAATCAGGGAATCAATAGAACACTTAATGAACAATTAGGAGAACAGCTGTAGGACTGTCAGAGACCCATCTGCACATAGCTCAAAGAGAGGAGTCGGTGTGGACAGGGCCCACAGCACAAAGTCTATTGCTCCAGGACATAGCCCAGAACAAAACTGACTATTCATTCCCATTTTACACGATACTGACACCATTCCCCCACTGCAAAATATAAATTGGCTAGAAAAATATGGAAATTGCTAAAGACATCCATCAGCTTCTGTCATGTGAACTGATCAATAAATTTGACAAATTGTGGCATTTAATTAAACAACAAAACAAGCATGGGTTTATTTGAACAGACGCTTCCATCATTTTCCCCTCCATAAAACAAATGACAAATCAGCACTTTCTAAAAGAGTCCTGTTTTCAGAAGTTCATTGAAAGTCAATTTTTTGTATTACATGTATTGTGTTTCATTATTCTAGCGGGATATTATGGTACTTAACTATGAATTGTAAAAAGTAAATCAGCCCTTTGCTTTCGTTTAGCATGTGAAATAAATTTCATCAGATAAAAATATGCTTAGGAACAAACACTGTGATCTCTCATACTATAGATTTTATTTTCACAACCTTTTGAGTCATGTACATGTAAACTCCTGTTCTACAGTAGGAACAAATTATAGGCAACTAAGCATAAGTTTGTGTCCTGTATAATATCTTGAAATTAATAGATATAAAACTGTCTGTAAATGTAAATGTCTGTGTTTTATTTAATCAAGAAAATTAGACCGTACAGAATTTATTTCTGGTTTTGTGTACTAATATGTTCTTTATTTAAAAAAAAATAAAAATAAGATGTTGCAATCAATTTTTGAGATTTTAAATATTATTAACTTCCCCACATACTGTAGTGTGCAGTGGTAAAGGAATTAAAGTTTCCTTTTGAAATGTGATTTACACATTAAATCTGTTTTTTGTTGTTGTCAATTACTACTTGTTAAGGTGTGTGCTTGGGTACAGTGATATAATATAATAATCTGGAAGATTAAGAATACCTCCCATCTGTATTGATGTAGTGAGTACATCTTAATATTACTACACAATTCTGATCAGTATTGCACTGGATCCTTAGGTTGTGTCTCTCAAAAAGAGACTTTCTGTACATAACATTTGTTAGGGTTCACTCTACAATGGCAGACACTGGTAGGGACAAATGACATTTCATTACTTCTCCTCTCCTTGCCTGACATTTCCTTTTTGACCTCCCAGCCACAGTGCTTAGTTTTTTTCTTATCAGACGTTTAATATTTGCCTTGGACAATGGTCGACTCATTGCAAAAGTATTTTAAAAAAGAAATGATTATCACACTTATAATTTTTTATCATTCTAATTTCCCCTAGCATTAAAAAGGTTAGATTGTAACATCAGGTTGACTCTTTAATACAGGTACTGATTAAGTTGATTCACTATGGCAATTACTGTTGAATCCCCTTTAATTACTGAGGGTTTTATTGCGGCTTCATTATAAAGCCTACAATAATGGATTGTGGCCCTAAGGAAAAGTGTTGCAGTAAGTTTTACATAGAAAATGTAGCTTAGAAAGATGTAGCAGAATACTAAATGGCTAAAAAGAGCACCATATTGGATTTGCAAACCTCAAACGTCAATGTGTAGTAAGACGAAGGTAAAGAGAAAGCCAGATTTTCTGTACAGCTGTTCCAGTGCGTTCTGAATGATACTCCACACCAAATCTTTTGTGATAATAAAACAAAGCATTAACAACTGTATGTTACACTAGCATTGCAGTTATACAGTAAAATACACGCTATAAAATGCTACAAGAAAATGACTTGATGTTGTTTAATTAACATAATATACATTTTGTTCTCATTCTTATCATTTTAGCTAAGCCAAATACATTATCTTAGAATGTTGCTGCATTATTATTAAGTTAAATGACCTCTTTTTATACTTCAGTGTTTTACCCTGAAAAACAAATCCCATTTTGTAGGAAATGCTCTTCTATTGAGGAAACCCATAGCATTACAGTAAGGTCATATGAACTGTCTTACATGTGGTCAAAAAGAACATGGCAAATAATGCTTCAGAAAAACAGATTTCATGGCCAGAAAATAAAAAATTAAAAACAAGGGAAGATACAGAAGAAATACACAGCGCTTTTAGTGTAGTATAAGGTGATGCATGACTTCAAGGATGCAGTGAAAAGTACTTGTCTGACCATCTGATATTCTGACCAGTCAATGAAACCTGAACAGAACCATCTTTCACTCTGTATTATACACAGTTTTTGAAAATTCTGTTTTTTATTTGATGTTACAGTATACTGTATTTAGTACATTTAGAGAAACCCAGATAAAAATGTGGACCTTTTCCTTCAAACACTCTTTCATCCATCAAACAGTAGTAGCATCCACATAGTCTGGACAACTTGAAACCCTTTTAAACTATAAAGAAAAATACAGTCTGAAATATTTCTAATCACAAGCAAAATCTGTTTGCATAATTAGCAGGAACCGTATTGTTTTTGGCATACTTGCATCATCATGAAATTTGGAAGCTAACATGTTCTTTAATAACTGTTAATAGCTACCACAAAATATAGTAAACCTTACACATACATTATATATTTTGTAAAAAATCAGTCTAATTAGTGATCATAATTGACACAAATCTACTTTATACTCTTACAGAAAATGTACTTTAACTATGGTCAGGATCAGTTTTATTCTACACTGCACTTTTGATCTTTGTCACAGAAAGTGAAGAATAAAAATATAACTGATCTCTATACAAGTTAATTGAAAGTAATTTCTTGTTTCTAGTAATGGCTGCTTTGTAGGCTTAAATTTATGTACAAGCACAGCTTTATAATGGGTTTTACCTTGTCCTTCTTTGCATATTCCGTAAATTAAATTAATATGAATGGATCCTTTTTATAGAAATTGAATGTATGACAAGGATTCAGTGTGTTCACCACAGGGCATAAAATATCATTGTAAGAAGAAGCACTGCTTTTTACAAATGTTGCGGGTATTGTTACTCTAAACACAAGCTTTTTGCACCAAAAACTGGACGAACTTTCCATTAAAGAACGTGCCATAACTTATATCCGGAGGGGGAGAAAAAAGAAAAATCTTTACAAATGAAGTAGCTAATAGTTAAGAATTGTGAACATAATGATGTCTCTCATAGATCCCTTTTTTAACTGAGGAATTTACTCTGTGGAATATATTAGATTTTAACAAGACAGCAATGTCAATGACACTATTGGCAGCTGTGTTAACAGAGAAGGAGCAAGCTTTGTACAGCAGAGCAGTTATTAAATTTCTCCAGAGACCATGACTCATTAATCAAATATTCATACATCTCTGTAAATACACACAGAACAGAGAATCTCCTCAGAGGAGAGCATCCCTAATACAAGTGCCCTTTCATGTTGCAGTGACAAAATCCTGAGAACACGCGGTCATGTTTTACATTTGTAATGGTCAATGTACTATCAGGTTGCCCGTTTCCTAAAAACAGACCACAAACGAATTTACTGACTATAGGCTACATGTTGCAAAGCTAAAATGATCCTATTGTGTCCTCATGCCAATATACTCTTTTTCAACACCAAGTCTAACAGACAGCCAATTCTTCCCTTTGGTGCTCAACATCAGAGGAGTAACTTTTTCCCATATGGGTGCCTGATCTGTGGCCATTCACCAGCTAATACAAGAATTTGTATTTAACACGAAAACAACAAACCATTGCTCAAACTGAGAAGGATCAGAGGACTTAGCCATGGAAACATTACATTCTGCAAAAGGATATTTTCTTTTCCTCCGGACACAATTACCAATTGTGTGTGTTTCACTGTGTCGAATTTTTCTGTGTCAGTTAAATGGAGTGTATAAATGGTTAGTACGTATGACTAGTTTTAATTTAGTGCAGTTAGCTGTGTCTTATAAAGCCTTACAAAACTAGCTTTTATTTTACAGTTTTTGTCCTGTGCTAAACACATGACAAAGAATTGCTTCTAAAAGAATGGCACAATCAAAAGCTCTTGGTAGGCTACATATAGCCAGGCAAGAAAAGCAATACCTGGGACCTGAATTTCAGAGAAAACTAAAAGCCATGATGTCTAATAACCAGAAATGCACACAGTTGTTTCATGTTCGTGCACAGTGAAGTGCTGTCAGAATTCTAAAAGACTCCAATAAAAAGAGAATATACTCATTTTCTGTGGAATTTTACTGTTCTCTTTAGAATAAAAATGAGATCAATGGGAAATGAATGCATAAACATATCTAAAAAAACAGATTTGCTGCACTATTCTAGATGCGAAATATGGCACCATAAAGTAAGAAACATTCTTAATTTCACTACATTCGCAAGCAATAAATGCATACAAGAACTAAACTGTGTGCTCTTCTGTTCTGCTCTAATGTTACCAAATTTTCATACAGTTGAATATGAAAACACCGTTACGGTTTAACACATTTCATGCATTTTACATAACAGTACTGTGTTTTGCTTCCTTATTCAACTGCAATACTGGATCTAGATTCACTAATAGAATGATAGTAGAAAACTGGAACTTGTTTTTAATTATGTTATTTCTCACAAAACTATGTGCATAATGAGAAGTTTATATAGGAGCCCAATTAGCAATTGTAAAGCAGGAGGACTGGTTACCTAAAACATCATTTATAACACAGTTTTGGGGTTTCCTGTTACTTGAATGGCATTATTAATAATAATGAAGTTTTAAATATTTCTGCTTTAAAACCATAAATGTATACAACAGCTTTCCTCTAGTAACAATATGCATGTGCAAGAATTTTAGCACAGTTTTTAGGTTCCCAAGGATATCTCTCATATTTTATTTTTGCTCTATCTTTTACTGGTAATTTAAGTAAAATGCTAAGCTTTAATTCTGACTTCATGTGGCACTGAAGATATCAAAGTATAGTATTTATTTCTCCAAATATATACAAAAATTCACTTTATTCCATGGATGATCTGTGCTCGTAATCCCAATAAAACCTTTAATCATCATCAGAAAACTGATTCTTCTCCAGACTTTGGAACCTTTATTTTTACAACACAGTAATGTTGTCGTAGTATGTTTTGGTCCAGAGCACCAAAGCAGTTTGACAAAGCAGTAGTATTTCAGTTATTATTTTTGTGTATAATGTCCATTGTTTTAGAAACCATTTGTTGTACATTATTTGTACATGAACTGTCCATGTTGAGACTTCAAGCTTTAAAATATCTTCACTATCTTCACAAAACCAAGTATTAAAATTAGTTTTAGTTGCAATTGTTCCTCACTTTGTTACACTGGCTTTGGTATGTTCACAGCAACACAAAATCTCCCATGCTAGTTTCAGGTCTCCTTAATTCTCCAGAAGGCAATTCTTTTTGCTCAAGGGTTTGTGAACAAGTGAAGTCATAGTCTTGTCCATGACCTTTAACAAATGTAAATGCAGGATATTTCTCTCTAGACGAAGGCTTTAAAACCTGAAACATACACACACACAAACAAAAAAATAGGAAAATCACTGAAATTTAAAATATGCACAAAACATGAGATTGACAGATTAATTGCCATTCAAATATTCCAAAACAACTAAATGAATCAGCAAAAGAAATCATTTAACAAACAACTTTCTTAAAACCTACAACTGTTATCAACCTTTTATGAGTGTAAAAAAAGTAAAACTCATTCTGTAAGACACTATTGACATTTGGCTCCTTGGGTGGACTTCGGCTAGTGTCCACCACCTAGATTCACGAGTCTAATATCATTCTCTCTGAAAATCTCCCCTTCCTCCTTTTTGATACCCATATTCAGTCCATGGACCTTTTTCAACTGGTGGAACTTTCAAATATAAACAGACCATAAAGGGTTAAATAAAATACCTTTTAAGTACACAAATGTTTTTGAGGCTTGACTGTCTGAATGGCCACCTATGACCAGTAGTAACGCAACACAAACGTCAATTAAAAAAAAAATACACAGCACTTTCCATTTTAAGGGAAATGGCGCCACCTGCTGTACTGGTACATTACAGCTAGTCGTTAAATAGTAACCAATATGTAACCGACGGCTAGTAAGGATACAGTATCTTTAAAAAAAAAACAACCCGATACTGAATCTCATGGATTAATTCTGCTTACCTTTGTAATTTCCTGTGTGATCCTTTCAAAGTCTTTAACATTTCTAGAATAAAATCCAATAGTGCAGCTTGGGTCCATTTTACTGAAGGGCATCTTTTTAGGCGATGGACAGTGGTATGACTACAAAATCATAAAAAAAAAAATACTTTTCACACCCGATGGAGACTCCACAGCTGAAAAGTTGTGTTTCTTTTATTCTCTTTTCAGCACCGAATAAACCTTTACTTGTTCATCTGTAAAGTGTGCTTCCCACTGAAAATAACTGAATCAGTACGTTCAGAGTGGGCAGAATTTGTGATTTTAATGAATAATTAAACACGAATGTAGCTGTCCCTTAAATGGCAATGCTACAGAATTACGTAGTACTATAGAAAGAGTTGTCTGATTAAGAAAGCAGTTAAAGGAAACTGGTAAAATAAACTATAGCACTCAACCAAATAACTACTGCTAAGTACAGCTATTAAGTCAATCAACTAACTATTGTGTTAACTACAGCTATTAATTATAACTCTGAATTCAAACTGTCATGACTCAGCTGTTCTGTTAATAATTGTAAAAAAGGTAACAATTAAAATAAACTGTATATAGAATATTTACTTAGAATAGTTATATCTTGCCATATTTACACAGATATTATGATGGCAATTAACTTTTAGAATACCATGCAAGTAATACAGAGCAATTAAAAAACCTTCCACTAGAAGATATTGTAAGAACCTTCTTTACTCTTACTAAATTCTGACCACTATTCCAAACTCTATTCTTGTTACATTCTTCTGTCCCAACCTTACTTGTCAGAAAAGAACATAAATCTACCTTCTCTTTTCAGTAATTGAGCTGAAGCTGATTTAGATTCATACCTTTAAGTACTAAAAGAAACTATTAAATTCACATTACTAAAAACATGGTCAGCTTTTTGTATTTCCATATTACCTCTAGTGGGAAATCGCTTGTGCTGACATCTACAAAAGACTGGCAGTAATGAGGATCCATGTAAATCAAGCTGTCATCTACAAGGACAAAACAAAAGACAAGTTATTCAAAAACATCTTATTATTACAATGCATATCATCCAATTTCTATGCAGAATAGCTCAAAGTCTATAGATAGTGTTAGGCTTCATGCACATCTTGAGAATCTTTTTCTTCTCATTTTGTAGGGCAGATTAAATTTCGCATAATCAAATCTGGTTGTATAAGCACATTTTTTATATAGTAAAGGGGCTGTCATTTAATTTTTTTGTGGAGAAATTACTTTTACAAACACGCAATTATATTCCCGAATTTGCATATGATAAATGCTTAGTAGAAGTAAAGGCTGGCAGGAAAAATGTATTGCTTGTCATTTAGACATCATCCAACAGTGTATCTCAAATTGGTAAAATGTAAATGTGTAAATATTGACTGCCAAGATGTACAACTGAAGGTTTCTTAGTGCTTATGAAGGTGATAAAGGGAACCTCACTTTATGCTGAAATGAATATTATGCATGTATCTTATGGAAATCAATTACTCCTGCAAGTTGGAAGATTTGGTTTTGATGAATAGACCCAGCTTTGATGGGTCAGATAAAATAAAATGAGTGCTATTTCAACTGTTCTGCTTACCAAATATGAATGCATTAACTTCTCACAGCTCTTTATGAAAATGATGTAAAATTATCTCCTTTCCCCAACACTAACCTTGAAACCCTACAAAGTAATAGGCTTGTTTAGGTTTCCCTCCAATGATCCCAAGGCAATACTCAAGACTTAAAATGCCCTATTAAGAGGGGAAAAGGGATTAAAAAAAACACTTTCGAATAAAACATTTCACAGTCCTCAAGCAAAATGAAAAATCTACCTGTGCAATCATTGATAAAACACTCCTATGATTTAAGACCATCTTTGTGTTATTAATAGATGAGAAAATACACCAGTCATTTGTTGATGTTGTCAAAAATGTGCAACAGAAACATTTACTTAAATGACATTTATGTTTCCATCAATATAAATACATGACACTTATGTACAAAGTTTAGGTACATTTCAAGAAAAGTGGAAAGAAAGAAAAAATTTGCAAAGTTGCATTTTTTCTTTTCAATTACCCTCTACTCATTCTTTTGCAGTCTGTTCCTTCCTTTTACCTTTCTTACAAGAGGGAGTGTCACCAATACAGGTTATTACCTCACAGTGCAAAAAGAGTGCCAATTACCCAGGCCTATTCTTCATTCCCAAATTCAACATTAATCTCAAAAGTTTGGTAACCATGGATTGATATGGATGCACAGTTATCCCTCTCTCCACAGCAGAGAAGGTCTACCTGATAAAATGCTGTTTAAACATTTTACATTAGATATATCTGATATATATTGTAAAGAAATCTGCACCAGATGTGGCTCAACTCAACACTGGGTATATATCTAAAACTATGTTTTTCAGGGTAATATGGCTTACCAGGCAGACACGTGCGGAGCAATAAAATAGACAATACCCTATTCTCCCTATATTTTGTCAACTATGACATTGGTCGCCATCAAATTAAATGAAACCAAAAAAATGAAATAAATCTCACACTTTCATATAGACACCCAGACATTCCACACAACACTACCGGCAACAGTGTGGACAATAAGGTAAGATTTACCTTTACAAACTCATAGTATTCAGGATTACTTTTTTCCCCTCCAAGCCTTACGGGTATAAGAATAATTACAGCTTTTCTGTCTGTGTTGGGTTCAGCGTCCAGCCCCTGAGCACGCCCCTGGTGACTATCAATAACATCAGCACTGTAGACTGAAACCAATCAATATAAAAAAGGGGTCACGTTAGGGTCATTCATCACTTACACAACACAAAAGCATGAAATTGATGCAAGAATTAAATTTCAAAAAGCAGTACTGCAATCATGAATACGGTATTTATTTGACATACTGTACCTAACGATTTAACAATTTCTTCTTTTTATACAAAAGGGGATTTAGAAGCAGGCAGGTTAGGGGCTCATACGATCAGGACCTATCACTCCAATGCTCTTTATGCAGGTTCAATGCACTGAAAGAGACTACATTTCTTATTTGTATCAGACCATCGACTGCAGCCTTGAATTCTATTGAAGACTATGAATTTTCTGAACAAAAAGAGGACCAGAAGAACGAAGAAGACATATTCTTCGGGAAGTATTGAGAAGAATGACTTTGCTAAAAATGCAGCTATGACAAGCCAACACACTAGCAACACTTAAGATGCATTTAACCACACTGAACATTGTGTTTTTTTCTGTAATTTCAAAGGGGAGGTCAAGCTGGGCACAATGCCCAGACTCCCTTCTCAGCAAGACTCATTTTTCATACCTGTGCAATCCTGAGCAACATAAACTGTTATGCCTTGCAATTCAGGGTCTGTTGCTTCTTCAACAGCTTTTCTAGGAGACACAAAGGTAAGCATACACTGCACAATAGTGTTTGATTCTAGCATATTTGAGTCAAATTGATTGTTTTTTTACACCTAAGAAACATTACTAAATGGCATCTAAATATTGCATGCTCCTACTATGTGGCAAGATTATTTATTCCCTGCTGCGTAAGAATATGTGGACAGGGCCAGTGCTACCTTATAACTCCATATTCATAATTCAATGTGTTTAATTTCATTTGGCCCTGTTTAACAACAAGGGAGTAAAATCAAACACTTATGTGTTAGCCAACTGAATGACCTTGTAACAGCCTCAGAAAGGCACTCTTCATGGCCCACTGTAAAATATATTTTGCTTTTGTAGATTGAGTTAACTAATATAACCCAGTAGAGTCTGGCATTTATGAAGCTGTCCATAAGATGGTCTATAAGCACCTTAAATTGACATAGAGTTTATTTTCAGTTTATGAAGAGGTTATTTCCATATCTAAACATCACTGCTTAACTTTAAGCATACCTTCTTAGCTTTGTCTCTTCGTGAGTAAAATTTCAGGCAGAAACACTAAGCTAGATCTGCAAAACATAAACTGTGCTGCGTTTTCATTTTGTTTGCCACCAGGTGACACTGTTTCCACAGAAGGTCTTCATTTGCATGTTATGAAGCACAACATTATTTCATAATTGTGGGTATTTGAATAATACACACAAAAAATATGAAACGCACAGCACTGTTTGTCTTTCTCACTTTGTTATTAAACGGTTAGATTGTATAAGCTCATTAGTGGATTCCTGTTATTTTAATAAAGTAGTAGTAATCAGTTAACCTTCTGTCATTTGTTCAATGAATCTAGCTCATATTCTTTGACCCATATCACGCAAACCTCAGAGCCTCACAAGGTAATTAAGTTGTTCTCCAAGGTTTTGAAACCTACTAGAAAGGCAAGCACATGTGAATTCTAATTCATTACATAAGCATACCTCAAAATGTGTGCTACCACAGCTGGCCCATACCAGTCCCCAGCTGTTTTCCCAGATGTGCGCCCATGATCTATAAGTCTGTGCACACCCAGCTGTGCCAAGGGTGAGTCCCCAAACCAAGAGATGATTTTCCTGTGATAAATGCTACCGACGTGGGAGCTGTCATCCTCAGATCTCCTCTCAGTCTGCGGTATTGGACTGGTTTCAAGTGGCTTCTCTCCCTGCAATGATGCCTCGAAAGAGGCTACAAGCTTCCTGGCAGCATTGGCAGTCCACGTCTCAGTGTCCAATCCTTCTATCTTTAATGCATCAGGCCAGGTCCAGTCTGGAATTAAAGACAGAAGACGTTGGCTGCATTTTGTGATTTAGAATCATGTCCTAGAGGTATCTTCAAATACAATTTCCAGGGCAAAATCTTGACTTTATTCAGATGTACAGGTATATTTTTGAATGCAAAAATTCTTATTTCATACTTGGCAGTCTTAAGTCACCTTCCTTCCGCATGGCAAGAAACTCTGATGTTAGGCAGACTGTAAATACATTTATTGGCTTAATTGCTTACCTGATGATGAAGAACTAAAAGAAAGCAAAATGACCATGAGTAATTGTTGCATTAAATAACGCACTTCATGCATGTATGATTAATTTCAATAGAATATTTCAACAGAATAATAATTCCACATACTTAGTAATACAAACTGTACAATTAACATCTCTTTTTCCAGTGGCAATGTTCTTTATAACAGTCATTACATTTAGTTTTTTTACTAATTTTCGAAAGCAGTAAACAGTGTTTGTATTATTTATAGTTCTTTCCACTACTGAATAATTACCTTTATGAGTCTCGGGCCTTTACGCATCCTCAGTAGACAACAATCAACATTTTTTTTCCCATCATGTTACAATACTTACTCTTCCTGATGGTTAACAGGATAGCATTTCATGACTTTTCATGAAAGTGATTAAACAAACAGAATAAGTGTTGAGGCTGGTCACTTTAGGTGTGGCGCTAACCGTTAAGACAAAGGCAAAGGTTATAATGCATTAACATTATGACCTTGCAATGTGTCAGAATCTGTAACAGACCTATAAATATCTTTAAGTGGCCATTACTTATTTTTATAGGCAAAGATATCTTTAATGGCATATTTCAGATCAAAAGGAAGCACATGTTAATGCTTAAATATTGCTTTCTAATTGACTACATTAAATGTTTTCTAAATGACAACATAAAATCTGCTGTAAATCTGACTTTCTCAGTTTTATTTTATAATCTTTAACGAGCCTCTTTCTTGAAAGGGAACGAAGAAATCTGCCCACCGTATCTTTTGAATACATATTAAATATGAAAACTCATTAGCAATACAAAGCTTACTTACAAGATCTACTTTGACAAAATGGTTTTAAGTTCTTTATGTAGAAACAAACACATACAACAAAAATGAGTCATTTTGTCAACATAAAGGATCTTTACTTGCTAAATTCCTTGTGATTTCACACTGAGTGGCAATCTACAACAAACACTATCAATTACAATTCTCCTTTGTTACAGCATACAGAAAGCCATCATGTTTTGCAACCAAAACTACTTTCCAAATGAATGTGGAAATGTGTAAAGCTTATGATAAAACATCTATGAAACCAGTCAAACATCTGATGCTTGTGTTTGTGCAAAATTCCTATATAACTCAAACCTACATTTTTTTCCCATTTCTTATAGTACTTCTAATCACACTGCAAAATATTGCCTAGCAGTAGTGCAACAGCTGAAATGAAGGTCATTCAAAAAACAACATCACGTAAATACTTCATGTGATTGGCAGATAACTGAAACATACCAAGTTGAGTGAATATAAATATGAGCACTGCACACACCAACCTCTGCCTAAGAAGTGAAGGACCAGGGCCTGTGCCAGCATCATCTGTCCAGCCCTCAGAGTACAGCCCCAGCCACAGTCTGAGGACATGTTGGTGCCGGATATTGCAGGGAACTCCTCTCTGTAGGTCAGCCACACGCGAGAGGTGAAGTCTTTACGAAAGGCCTCTACATTTCCTGTGACATGCTCACTCTCGGAGGCCTCACTGCTACAGCCTTCCAAGGAACTCTCCATTTCTGGAACAGGTACAACAGACACTAATAAAATGTACTTTACTGAAGGAAACGTTCCACCCATTTTAATAGTGTTTATATGTTTTGAGAAAGGAAGATGGACATTAGATACAGTTGTGAGAAAGCGTTTGTGAACCCTTAGGAATTATCTGGATTTCTGCATGAATGTCTCCTAAAATGTCATCTTCTGATCTTCATCCAAGTCATAATAATAAATAAAGACAGACTTATTTAACAAACAACACCCACAACATTTTACATGGTCATATCTTTATTGAACAAATGGTTTAAACAATCAAGGTAATTGATGAGAAAAAGTATGTGAACCTCTAGGATAATGACATCTTGAAAAGAGGGTAATTGGAGCCAGGTATTCCAATCAATGAGTCAGGTTTGACCTGCCCTGCCGTATAAAAAAAATCACACAAATTTGGTTACCTGCTCTTCACAACAGAATTCTGTTGAAGTGCAGTATGGCCCGATAAGGGTTCACATACTTTTTCCATCAATGACCTTGATTGTTAAACCATTTGTTCAATAAAGATATGTCAATGTAAACTGTTGTGGGTGTTGTTGGTTAAATAAGACTTTATTATTATGACTTGGATGAAGATCAGATGACATTTTAGGAGACATTCATGCAGAAATCCATATAATTTCAAAGGTTTCACACACTTTTTCTCACAACTGTATGTTATGCACCATTAATATATATAGAAACAAAACATGACTTTAATTTTAATATATTTGAGTTCATATGCATATGTTATTTATCATGAAACTTAAGTCATTTATGTTCATTTTTGGTTAAATGTGCAAACAAAAGAAATCCTATATAGAAATGTAGACGATACACAGTTTGTAAATTACTGCATCAAATTAACATTTTTTGCTCTCGATCAGATCAGATTAAATGCGAACAGGTTTTACCCATCCCATTCCAAGCAGAGTAAAATTCAAACCAAACCCAAGGTTACGCATATTTTTTCTTTTGTTAGTTTCCCTGCATCTCTTCAACCCCTGAGACAGAAATGTTTGTACTTAGAAAAAGTCTAGGTGGCGAGTCTACAAAAAGTCACCTTTAAATGTATAAAACACGGTACTTATCTTTACCTTCTGCTTTGAAGTGATAGCATTTTCCCAATACAAAAACTGGAGAATTTCTGCTAAAACATGTCTTAGTTTTCAGAATCCAGCCTGGGATTTTTAAAAAGAGATAAATGTACATCACAAGTTAAGATACAAATATGGGCTTATTAATGTGTTTGGAATAACACATGTCTAAACTGATGGGTTCCAAGAAAGTACCTCACTAATAATTGAATTATTAAGGCAAATGAAAAAATGTTCATTGCAAAATTAAAGGTAAATGCTGGACATCCAGTATAATATTACAGAAGGCATGTAGTTTTGGGTCAAAACCCAAATGTCTGAACTACATATTACACAATGATTAACGTTTATGTTGAAAGCACTATTCTTTTTGAGCAAACATGGCTGACTGGACGTAGACAAAGTGGACTAGGCATTGAACAAAATATTTCAAGAAGAAATGGACCTCAAACATCACACAACTCAAATACACAAAACGGAAAAGCATAGCATGATAAAGAACAACAAGCAGTTAAAGCAATAGTAGAACTAAGAAGAAAAAATACATCAGCCTGGAAAAACAAGAGTTTAATGTATGTATTTAGGTAATACACATGAATCTAATCAACTATTATTCACTCTGCCTTTCATACAAATACATATTCCCCTAAAGCACACTGATTCAGAGTTTTAGAATTTTACCTTGGTATCAAATCCTATTTTATTATTAAAACATTGTTGAACGGAAATGGTTCTCATGCTGTTGTGGTATGGCATGATAGATAAAGTGATCCTAAAGTTTAGAACAACTAAACTGACTCTTTCTGTAACGACCTACAGCCTTTGTAATAATTTGCAGAGTCCATCAAATTTACTTACTGTATTTGACATTGTGCCAAGCTGACATAAACCGCGTTTTCAGTTTCTCCACCTCATCTGGTTCCTTATTCTCCATTCTGGCCTCCAAGCAATGGAACCCATCACAACCCTTTGGTAATGACTGCCCCCTGTAACTTCAGCCCAAAACTGAAGACCACGTATCAGTATAAAAGTAAAATACATTTTAGTCAAGTCAGTCAAAAAGCCCTGGCCTGTTCTTATCCTTAATATGCTATTTATTAACTTTACTGCGGCAAAAAAAGTAACAACACGCGAACGCATTATGGTTGTCTTATCATCAAGACTAGAAAACTCCGGAAATACCGTACTCAAAATTACGATTCACAACCAATGCTTACAATTTACTGAAACGTGGAAGATCTAGCCACATATTAATGATCATCACAATAAAACATTTTAATAATACAATTTATAGCGCACCTTTTTAAGCAAACATCTCAAAAAGATATCGCAACGGTGTGGAGATGAAAATGTGGTTTATTTTGCATCTTCTCTACTAATCTGTAATTTCGTGTTAAACTCTTCGTTAATGAAACAAAGAGACGTTTATTTTAATGTTCCTGACTTTCGCGGAACTTCTAAAAGGAATCGTTAACTTGTATCTCCAATGTCAAAAGGTCGGCGTTATATACAGTATATACTGTACCACTATTACATACATAGAAATATATATCACTACACTGTATCTCCTGTAATATATTTCTCTCACTGAAAGGGACATTAAAGTCGTTTAAATGAATACAAATTATAAAGGCAATCGAATTATTCGTAAAGAGCAGAAAATAAACTAAGGATAACACGGCGGTGGGGGCAAGTTAATGAAAAACTTTTCCAAGAATAACACGTGAGAAGACTTGAAACAATGTAATATTTTGAAAGATTTGCTCAATTTGAAACGCAGCTCTCTCGGTCTAATGTATAGCATCTCTGTATCAAGATCCAATTACTGTTCATAGAGCTTTTTCAAATCACTACTTTGTAATACCTATTACAGCCTCAGTCCGATGAGCTAACTTATAAAATAGGACAACAAAGCATATTAACAACATCAGTCTTTCAGGTGACTTACCAACAGCGTGTTTACATTTTGAGGGAGCGCGACAGTCTCACAGTGTTTGCGTCACCACGCACGGGCTGTAGCAGAGGTTGGTTGTGTTACTCTACTGGGATCATCTTTGAGTGAAGTTACAGCCATACATTCGAGAAAAAATATTAATGGTGTAGCTGCTACCCATCCTGTTTGACATACTTTCCTCACATACGTTCCAGTGAACTGGTTTTAGGAATATATATAGGTTTCGACTACACTTCTTTGTAACATCATTCTTAGTTTTGCCAAAAACAGCCGATTATACTGTCAGTATACTGTGTATTATACTGGGATTATACTGTCAGTATACTGACTTATTCAAATAACAATAAAAATACATTTCAGTCAGTTGTAAGAGTGAAGCAGAAAATTATTGTTTAAAAAAATCTTCTTAAAGAGACAGTATGTATAGTGTTAAAACGTTTTCATTTGATATGTGGATTTTTCCTGTTATCGGTAAGCCTCGAGCAGGGTATTTTAATATCGACAGCAAAACGCCAAAAAAAAATCGCAAAATCATCAGTTCGAGAATCCAGACGCAGACAAGAAAAAAAAGATATGAATTAAAAACTGCTTGAGGATGTTCTGTTAGAACCTTTTATTATGAGCTAAAGTTAGCGTTAATAAGTGTAGTCGGACAAATAAATGCTGATCGTTTTACTATTTTTTTTAATATTGGTTTTAAAAGATTCGATGTCTTTGTTTTGCATCTAAGTCGTGCAAATTACCTAATGAGTTAGGCCTTAAGCAAATAATACATTCTCCTTGTTGATAGCATGTGTAACAGGAATCTCAGGAAACTACGCTGGCCAGATGTAAGTGTGCTAAGGACATGCAGTTCACAGATTATTAGCTTCTAGATTTCCGATTCCAGAAGATTGTTTCCCTCCAGACAGGATATGAATAATTCATTACTGTAACAATTCATCCGAACCGGTTTCTTATAATGTTGCAGACGCTGGGCATTTTGAAAGACAAAATAAGTTATAATAATATCAATATAAAATCAGCTAATGTATTCAAAGTAGAAAACTCTCCCCTATCATAGTAAGTTCACTTTTTTTTTACCATTTTAGGTGTTATTTCGTCGTTTAACCACTTTTTATATATGGTATTGCCCTGCGTCTGTTAAACTTTTAAAACTATGGGCTGGATTTTTCACTTTCCTGTCTTAGAAGTATACGTATATTTATTATCAGGGCTAACATCTTTAATGGATATTTTAAAAATAATTTAATTCAATTCAACCACACGCGTTTAAGTTAGATTAACTTAGTAACTTACATACTAATGGTGTGTTGAGCTCATCTCTTGCCGTGAGACTCCCCAAGCCTGCTCCACGACCGTTTTCAGCTATCCTTACACAACTCCTACCAACGTTACATACGTGTATAAAATCGATATAGGAGAAAGGATGTAGATTGAGACAGACTGTCTTGTTGCCAACCATAAATAAGGCAGACTTGTTTTTATTTTGTTGACGCGCGTATTTTCTGTTAGTTACGGTACCTAATTCCAACCACCTCCTTTCTACTCCAACAGCGCAGATCCAGAGAGCCTGGGAGCCCCACCAGCTAGCGACCGAAGTCATGGCTGAACGCCGCGCCTTCGCTCAGAAAATTAGCAGGTAAGGAAGTTTAATCACGTTTTTAACGCCTTTTTAGAATGATTACCTTATTCACGAGGGCTCCGTTTTCATTTGTCGGTGGGTAGCTTCAGTCAGTGGGTCCTAGTTTTCCTGCAGTTCATTTCCAAATAAGGCCTAGTTGTATTAAAGATGCACCAATGACCCGCCCAGACTCCCCAGCCTGTTTTTCCTACTGTTATGTTTTTTTTAATTGTGCCCTTTTCCTCTACTGTCTGCAGTAAGCTTGAAATTTTCGTCCAAGTATAAAGGAGGTCATTGTATCATTTTGGAGAACGGCTACAAAAGAGCAATCGTTGATAAACAGCCTGCAATTTAGATGAATGCAAATAGTATATTTTAGGTTGTCCCGTTGCAAAGAAATGATTTTTTAATACAGTTTTATGTAGTCTAGAAAACCTGTATTTGATCAGACTAGTACGTCGTTCGATTAAAATGTTTTTAACTGCCATATTAGAAATAATATTCCTTATATCATATTATCTTCTCTTTATAGAAGAAACTAAGGTTCAAGGCAAGAGCACGATATAAGCTATATAATCTCATATTATATTTTTACTATTTCTACAATTGCGTCTGTTGTTATTACTAATGATATCAATATAATGTGAACTTGTAAAATATAGTGCTTAATTCCATCTTTAAACTGAAGCCTTTTCCCTACAGGAAAACTAGAAAAGATCTGTTAAAACAGTACCTTTGTTTTCAGAGTCTAGTCTGGAATATTTTAAAAGAGGTACAAATACATAGTTGCGAGACGTAAATATTGTTTAATATATGTGGAAACAGAAAAGGCAGATGTGAAATGTTCCAAAAATGGTCCACATTTAAGAATTTAATCAAATTATTAGTGCACATATGAAAAACAAAATGCTCATTGTAAAATCCCAGCAGGATATCTGATATGTTAGAAACATATGGTTCTTGTTAAGTGTTTAACTAAAGAGTTTTAACTGCATGTTACAAAGTGCTTCATTTTTATTATTATGTTTTAAAGCACTTATCTTTCTGAATAATCTTGGCTGATTGGATCCAAAAATGGATTGGATGCAGAACACTTCACAACCCAACCACCCAAAACAGGAAGAGATGTAAACAAAAAAAAACATGAAGAGAAAAAAAGTCTGAACTTCAAATAAGATTAAAAATCTTATTGAAAAATTGAAAACAAGATTGAAAAATTAAAGGAAATTTCAGTCTCGGATATTCATTCAATCTACTAATCAAATTAGTGCATATATAACATTTAACCTCCGTAAATGTGTTTTAAAATCATATCTTTTTGAACATCAGATTCCTCACCTTTTGAAGAAAAAAGGAGTTGTACAGTAAATGTTTTGAAACCCAAGGGTTATGAAGACCTTGTAATTATAGTACCTTACTTTGGCTTGAGAATTCTTTACCAACAAAAACAAGTGGGTTTTGCTTTTAACTGCATGCTTACTGTAAACAATACAACTTCACTGTAATTTACTAGCTAGTTAGGAAGTGCTATCTATAGAAGACTCTTGTGTTAGTTGATTAATGAATACACTCTTCAAGACAAGGATTTCTTTTTAGCCATGTTGAGGTCAAATGTAAGGTTGTCTTTCACTGCTTTTTAATCATATTCTGCTTTAGAATATGCCTTTTAGTGTCAGTTTTTAATACCTGTTTCCAAATTAAGAGAATGTGAAATGCACAACAGATTTGTTGGGCATTTTGTTAGATTTTTTTTGTTGGTACTGTAACACACACCGGGCCACAAGTTATAATTATATTGGATCTTGAATGCTTGGGTCATGTGGAGTTATCATCTACACATTACAATTTAAAATAAATAAATGCATGTTAAAGGAATAATAGACTGCGTGAGAGAAAATAAACATGTTAATATGAGTTAAGGCTCTTTGCTGCTTCACTGATTTTCTTTTCTGCAGTCTTATTGTGAACATCCCTGCTGATGTGTATTTTCAGATGTTGATTTTGAGGTGTCAGACAATCAAAATGGATTAAGACTTTTCCTTTCTAAATTTCTTGTTGCCAAGGGAAACAACCAGCGTATTTAAATATGATGTTGAAGGGCATCAAAAGATTAAAAACAGTGACTGAATCATCTTATTTCCATAAATATGAAGGATACTGAGAGCCATTGTTTGTCTTACAGTTGACATTGTGTTGCTGTGCTGTAAGGCGTAACATAATGTTCCTTAGGAAACTGAAGTTGGTAAATTTCTTTTTTTTCAGGTTTTATATTGTATCATTCCATGATATCTTCTATAAAGAACTTACAGGGTGTTTGTTTTGGTATCAAGAAAAAAAAAATCTCAAGCACACATTTCAAGTCAATCGGGTGATTCAGCAGTGAATATAGTTGTATGATCCCTAAGATAAATTTCATCTGTGTAAGGGGCCCAGACTTGGGTGTGGGTGGGTTTAGACCTCCGAGCTTGCAAAGGCACCACCACAAAGACATAATGGTTGATTCTGGCATCTTCACGAAAGTTGTCTCTGCTATTAAAGAACGGGAAAAAACCACATGCACTGACTACTCTGGATTGATCGCTACATGTTCACCAAATTAAATCAGTCATGTGTGCAAGTGAGAATTGTAATGTGCTCTTCGTTATTTTTAAACTTGCGATACAGATGAAATATTATGGGTCTCCTGCTTTGTTGTATGGGCAAAGTCTCTGGCCTGAGCACAGGCTGAAGTTCACGGGTTTGAGCTGGGTTTATGTCAGTAGCTAACTCGTTCAACTGACCAAGTGGTGCCAAGTCATATTTGGGGCTGCATTCATGTGAAAAAGAAAGTACACCCTCTTTCAGTTCAATGGTTTTACACTTCAGGGCATAAATAAGTCGTCTGGTCCTCACCAACTTTTATAATTAGACAAATCTTGCCTCAGATAACAGATGACACATAACAGATTTCTCTATGTCATTATTTAGAACACAAAAAGTAAACCATGTGGGAATAATTAAGTACTGCTTCCATAGGAATTAAGAAGGTAATTAGCAGCCAGGTGCTGCTAATCAAATGCACTTGATTAGTTGATCATCAGGAAGTGTGACCACCTCTATAAATGCAGAACTTTTGGCAGTTTGGTGTTCTGGAACATTCAGGTGTGTGTTAACACCATGTCAAGAAGAAAAGACATCAGCAATGAACTCAAGAGAAGCAATTGTTGCTGCTCATCAATCTGGGAAGGGTTATAAGGCCATTTCCAAACAAATTTCCATTATTTACAAATGGAGAACATTCAAGACAGTTACCAATCTTCCCAGGAGTGGGTGTCCCAGCAAATTCACCCCAAGGTCAGATCTTATAATGCTCAGAGAAATTGCAAAGAACCCAAGAGCTATATCTAGGGATCTACAGGCTTCAGTTAATCTGTTAAATGTTAAAGTTCATGACAGTACGATCAGAAAAAGACTGAACAATGGTTTCATGGAAGAGTAGCTAGGAGAAAGCCCCTTCTCTCAGCTTAGGTTTGCAAAGTTGCATCTGAACAAACCACAAGATTTCTGGAACAGTGTCCTTTGGACAGACGAGACCAAAGTGGAGATGTTTGGTCATCATGCACAACGCCATGTTTGGCGAAAACCAAACAAATCGGATCACCACAAGCACATCATACCAACCGTCAAGCATGGTGGTAGAGGGGTGATGATCTGGGCTTGTTTTGCAGCCACAGGACCTGGGCACCTTGCAGTTATTGAGTCAATCATGAACTCCTCTTTATACCAAAGTATTCTAGAGACAAACCTGAGGCCATCTGTTCAACAGCTAAAGCTCGGCCCGAAATTGGGTCATGCAACTGGAGAACGATCCCAAGCACAGCAGCAGATCTACAACTGAATGGCTGAAACAGAAAAGAATCAAGGTGTTGGAATGGCCAAGTCAAAGCTGTGCATAAAAATGAATGCCCTCAAACATCAATGAACTGAAGCAATATTGTAAAGAAGAGTGAGCCAAAATTCCTCCAGAAGGATGTGAGAGACTGATAAAGTCATACAGAAAACAATTACTTCATGTTATTGCTGCTAAAGGTGGTTCTACACGCTACTGAATCATGGGGTGTACTTTGTTTTTCACACATGGCTTCTGCATGTTGGTTTATTTTTTGTTAAATAAATAATGATAATGTGGAATCTGTCATGTGTTGAGGTTAGATTTACCTAATTTTAGGACCTGGTAAGGACCAGATGATTTTTGTTATGTCCTGATATATAAAACCATAGAATTGAAAGAGGGTGTGCTTTCTTTTTCACACGATCGTATGTGCTTGCTTCAGTCAATGCTGAATCTCCCGTAATGGACAGTTTCATCTTCATGTGTTAAAAGACAAGTGGCCTCAAGTGGGCAGGTTGCAGGAGTCTGCCGTCACTCCTTCGTTCTCCTCTTTATAGTCACGGGGCTCGTAGCTGAAATCCAAGATGTGAAAACGCACAGTAGGCAATGATAAATCAGATGGGTACAACACAAATAACTGGTAAGTCTAAATTAATTACATTGTCAGAATTACAAAAAGTTATAGAATGTGGCTACAATTTCTAAATGAGCAAGTGTTTTGGATTGTGACCTGTGATGGACTGGTGTCCCATCCAGTGCGTACCCTGGCTTGTGCCCGTTGCTTGCTGAGATTTGGAGGAATTGGAAGAAGCGTTTAGAAAATGGAAAAAGGTCAATATTACTTAAGTTTAAGGAATATGTGCCTACAATTCCTACATGAGCAACCCGTTTGCTTTGTGTTAATGTGGATACAGGTTTTCTTAATTTTAAAGACCTTTGGTTTTAGCCAAAAGGCAGGGAAGTGAAAGGATTATTTCACACGAATTCCAGAAAATAAAGCCACCAGTATTTTTTTACTTAAAAGTATACGTGGTGAACCAGAAATGGAAACCCCAAGGTCACTTTTTGGGGTGTTTGGCCAACAAATATTGCCTTTATGCGCCGTAACGAGCTTGCCACTGTCTGGAATTCTGCAGGGGGGTGTGTGCTATCAATCAGCTCGTGCTTGATGGATGAAAGTGGAAAACATCGTCTCAGATTTCATTCCAGAATATCCCATGAATTGGGTTAATATCATGTGACTGAGAGGGCCATGACATATGTATAACATCAGTGTCACGCCCGTCAAACCATTGGGTAACCAATGATTATTCTTTGGTGGTGGCATTGTCAGTCTGGAAGACACTCCTCCCAACAGGAACGAAATACTGCAACATGGGGTAAAGATTATCACAATAAAATGCAACCCATGCGATGCTCCCCCTGCAACATTCCGGAACCATCCAAACCTTCACTTAGTGTTGGAACTGACCACATCCCATTTCTTCACTATTCAGTAGTCCATCGTCGGTGCTGTTTCGCACCACTGGACTTGCCAGTGTGCATTGCCAGGTGTGATGAGAGCTTTGTGCACAGCAATGTGACTGTGGTGCTTGGCTTTGTGAACTGTTTTTCATATGAAACTCACTCCCTAGTTTGAAGTCTATGATCAGTTGTTATACAGTTGCTCTTCTGTTTTGCCTTGCACTTAGAATGAATGCGTGGATACCAAAGTTGCCCTTTGCTGATATCTTTCAGTCAGACTTGGTGACATCACCTTAGACACAGCTTTTCATGAAACATCAGCAAGTTGAGTTGTTTTGATAAGTGGAGCTCCTGCAATATGCACCCCCCAAAAAAATAGGTAGTTCTCAGTTAATGCGAAAACTAAGTGAACACAGCATTTTCATATTGATGTGTTTAAGCCCAGAACCAAAATGAAAGAGAAAATGTTACTATTGGCACTTCTCACATTATATCACATTATCAGAGGTTGTTTTTTACATAAATGTGTAAAATGAGAGAAACAAACATATGTTCTTAAAGGAAAATGACACCCTGTCATTAATGAGCAATAGCAAACAAGAAGCATGTTTATCCTGCAGTCTTGAATGCAGTGTGTGGGATTTCTAACTCGATGGATTTACAGTGATAATTTCACAATGGTATTAGCTTAAAGGGTTCAGCAGAGAGATCTGCAGTTTTGGGCTCCTGCTGTTAATTAAATGTTTCAGGGGTGCTGTAAACTGTGTTCTTGAGATGATCTGATATTCTTGAAATTTCACATTTTTAAAAAGCCTCTATCTAAAAATAGTCTCCTCTTTGACAGATGACGTGATTTTACCTTAGTAGGTGCTTTCTTCATATTTACGTTGGTCTGCTAGCTTTTTCTTTTTTCAAGGTAGCAGTGCAGACCCATTTATGGGCCACAGTAATTCAGAAAGATTCTTCAAATGCTTACCAAAGCCCTTTTTTATGAGGTGCACAAGCTTTTATTTGTTTTCTGCTTTCAAGTCTAATGTACAGCCTTGTTAGATGAAACACAAAAGGTCCTTACCTGAACCGTGAGGCAATCCAGATTCCATTACAAGTATTTTCACACACACAAAACTTCCTGTATTAAGTTAATTAAACTGATGCTGGACATGAAGTTTCTTTTCTCTATCCTTTTCCTTTGTCTTCAATACCATTAACATTCTTTATTTCAAATATGATATTTCTTCTTTTAAATACCTGTAAATAATTTGCTATCTGCTGTTCTTCCAATAATTAAATCGATCATTTGCATTACTTCATATAGAAGATAATCTTGAATTGAATGCTTGTCTTAATCCTGACAAAGTGTCGAACAGTGTAATCTCCATGCTATATGGATTTTGTCCAGATTTTTTTCCCCAAAACTAGATAAGAAATACTGTAAACTTGGCTGAAGATTAGATTTTTTTCTGGTTGGAAACATGAATTGCATCTCATCTCTGTCATCTGTTTCTGACCAGACGTTTAGTCCTGAGCTCCCATCCATGTTGGTTTGTGGGTTCTTTTCCAGAAACATACTGGGAGAGCATTTTCCGTGCAGGTTGACGTGTGTCTGTGAAGAGCTTTTGTGTTTTTCAGGACTGTAGCAGCTGAGGTGAGGAAACAGATTGCCGGCTATGGGGGATCCCCACAGCTCCTGAAAAACTTAAATGTTGGTGCCAACACTTCCAGTAACACAGTAAGTAAACAGAAGACATCAGCAAAAACCACAGGAGACCATGTCTAGCTGCTGATAGGATAGTCATTTCTGTCTGTGCTTTGAAAAAATATGAATATAATATATTCTTTTAATTAGTAAGGAGAAATGAAGACATTTTGTTAATGTTAAATTTTTGTATTTTCAGCAGTGTACTTGTTTAGAAAAATCAAGCTGTGTCTCTTTTATCATATGACAGTTGTTTTTCCCTCTTGACATGTATTTTTCTGATAGTTTCAATTGTTCAAATATTTATTTCACTTGACTACAGCTTGCTATTTCTGGCTACAACTTGGTTTTCCTGGTACTTCCCTCTTCGGCATGTTTATGGTAACCACAGAAACAGGGCCGATATTTCTTGTTATTGATTGTTCCGGTTTAGTCCGGTTTCATTTTCGATTGAAGGATGTTGTGATTAAGTCTGAACTTGCTGTTTGGCTTCTCTCTCGTTGGTTCTGTGCATCAAAGCCTTTGCTGAAGCGATAAGAAACACCCACCACTTGTTAGTGGGTCTTATTTGTAGCTGTGCCCATAATTCAAATGCATTTGCTTACTTCAGAAGTTTTAATTTATAAATCATAAACACAGTTACATTTGTTTGTAACAGTGGCTGTACAGTGTGAAGCTCTGTACTTAACCTGTGAGATTATGCTCTCTTTTAGGTGTGAAATGGTTTGGGCAACTGTCTATGCTAAATGAAATGATTTTTGTCTGTTAAGTTACTGTTGTTCAAGTGTGTACTTTCATTGTTTTTCTAAATACAGTAATAGTATTAGCTTATAATTGAGCTACTTGCAGGTATTTTACATTGCCTTGTCTCAGGTCCCTTTTTCTGTTTGCAGGTTCCACTCACAGAAGCTGTGGACCCGGTGGATTTTGAAGAATATCTGCACACTCATCCTCCTGTTGTTGAATCAGGCCCCCTGAGGGACCTCATAGAGTTCCCACCTGATGACATTGAAGTGATCTACACCCCCCGAGAGTGTCGCACACTAGTACAGGCTGTGCCGGAAGAGGGGTGAGAGGGGCTTCTTATAAAACAAGAGAACACAGAAGATGCTGTAAACAGGATGAAAGAAGGAAATTCAGAACTGGGCCTAGATACTGTATACTATATTATGTCCCTCCTGTGTCTCATAATTTCACCTCACTTTCTTCTCTGCACCAGATCTCAGGTCCCAGACAGAGACATTTTACCTTAGTTAAGCAGAGCTCCGGTCTTCTCAAGTAACAGGAATAACAGGGTCCGCAGTCCTTAAGCCCAGGAACTACAGCCAGTCTCTCGTTCCTCACAGTGATTAAAATGTTTAATCAGAATTTCAGTAACATCCGCGGCACTACTGATACTAAAGTCTTTCTGTTTGCCAAAGACTCTTAGCTTTCCCAGTGACTCTGCCAACCACTACTGGAGTTGTAACTGACAGATGGAAAAACATATTGAGTTAATTTGAGTCTACATTGTCTTTTTTGCCATGTTAAATTTGATTAACTTCAGCTCTTCAGCTCTAAAGAACCTTTAGCAGTGACAGCAGGTTATAGTCAAGTATCTCAGCCTGTTCTGCTCCTCAGCTTTTAATAGATGACAAATACGGTGGTAAGCATCAGTAATGTTTTCTGTACCTTTCCAGTGATAATGATCCTCATGTCAGAGACTGCACCAGATCCTACACTGAAGACTGGGCGATTGTAAATCGAAAGTAAGCAGTTTTCGTGTTAGACGTCTTGTTCTTTTAGCATCAGCTTTATGTATACTGTATATGGGTGTAACCATGTACTTATTTGAAAGAATTTCTTTTCTTTTCCTATTATATGTTGGTTTATCCCAAGAGTTTGAGTGTATCAGGTGTGCTTTTTGGCCTTTGTGTGAGAGGTAGAAGAGGTTTGACAAGCTTGATCTTTTTACACACTCAAATAAAAGGCTGGTTCAGGCCTTGTCGTGCTGCTCTAGCCTCAATACTTTGTTGCCTATGCAGTTAGAAACCTGAACTTCCACGGAAAGAACTATGAATACACAGTACAGAAAGAACCAGTTAATTTGAGTTAAATTAGAACTCTTTAACTCAAGTGTTTGTGGCTGATTAACTTGTGTCATCTCAATCCAAATCACAGAACAGCTATTTTTTGCTTCACTTGATAAGCAGGCTTATAAGTGTACCTTCTGCACATAAGGCACTCTGCATTTCTTTCACAAGGAGACTTTATGACATGGTTCCTTGCTGCTTGTCAGTGAAACTTTTCTCAAAAAGAATATTGCCTGAGTGTCACCAGCAATGAGTGATCCTGTGTTTATTTACAGAGATTTAAGACAGAAAATCTTTGTGTGGTTTTAATAGTTAGAAGTACAGCAGATATGTAAAAGAAATGCATTTCATACCTCATAGTATGCAGTAGGTGCTGAACTTTCTGCTGTTTTGTACGCTAATGACTTCATATTGTAGATCTCTGACATTTCAACCCAACTAAAACAGAATCATGCTGGTCTTTGCTTTCTTTATCTAGATACCATAAACTAGGGACAGGATTCAACCCTAATACTCTTGACAAACAAAAGGAGCGGCAGAAGGGGCTCCCAAAACAGGTCTTTGAATCTGATGAAATGCCCGATAACAGCAGCTACCAAGACGATCAGGTAACTGAGGTATCTTTGCCTCCACAATGAGACTTCTGCACATGAGGCTTTTGCTGAGCTGGTAAATGTTTTATCAGGTCCTTGGATGCATTACTTTAAACGTTTTATTCTTCCAGCGTACACTTAAGTTTTCATATTTTAAATCTGACTCTGGAGTTGGGCCACTTATGTTTCGATAGCAGCAAGTGTCAGTTTCAGTGCAGAGGCATTAATACTTCCCTTCACTCGCCCTTTTTAGTTTTCACGAAAGCCACTGCGGCAGCAGCACGGAGAACATCTGGCTTTACTTTTTTCTTCTTTCTTTTATTTTAAGATTTATTTCAAGATCAAAACTTCATGTTTGCAGGACGACCTTAAGAGAAGGTCCCTGTCTATCGATGACACGCCGCGTGGGAGCTGGGCCTGCAGTATCTTTGACCTGAAGAACTCCCTCCCTGACGCACTGCTGCCCAACCTGCTGGACAGGGCCCCGAATGAGGAGATCGATCGGCAGAACGAGGAGACCAGGAAATCAAGCAGGCACCGGGAGCTATTTGCCCTTCACCCTGCTCTGGATGAGGTATTGTCTCCAGAAGAAAAATGAACCTTATCTTATTGCCGGCATCGGCCAAATTACCGGCCCTGAAGATTAAAGGCTAGGCCAGACAGGATGACCCCAGTCACAGTTAGCGCGCCGCAACTTGTGATCCCTCATTGCAGGGTAAAATAAAGCTTCTTCTCCTGATGCACAAAAATATCTCAAGTACTAACGTTTTTTTTTGCCGTGGAACATCCACGATTAAAACATTTTCTATGTCTTGGTAATTAGTCTCAGGTGTATCTTAGTATTAACTCATATGATTGGTATTATAACTTGGGTTGAAGCATTTGTGTATCTAAATGTTCCATTATTAAAATAATAATCTTTAGGTTGCTCAGAAAATGTTTTTTTTTTCTAGAAAATTTAAAAAACCCATGTTAAAACCAACTTCTCCCCACAAATGCTAAAAATTTGTGTGTATTCTTCATTGTTTCTTAATCATATATACAGCTAATACATGCACTAATGCACTAATACAGATTGATCCTTTTTGATGCGGATCATATTTTTAAGGGTTTGAGTCATGCTTGAAATGTTTGCATATTGGTTATTTTTCAAAATACATTTATTATGAAGTGAAATTTTTATCCTTAAATCTTCCATCAGGAAGAGCCCATTGAACGACACTGTGTGCCTGATGTCCCTAAAGAACACTTTGGCCAGAGGCTGCTTGTTAAGTGCTTATCGCTGAAGTAAGTATGGCACATTTTAAAATTTTGTTTTAGGTCATGAGCGAACTGAAATATTTGACTGATTGTGCCTTTTGATTAAAGGTTTGAAATTGAAATTGAGCCCATTTTCGCAAGTTTGGCCCTTTATGATGTGAAGGAGAAAAAGAAGGTAGGCTTTTGCTTAAAATGCTCTCTGTGCAGAAGAAATAGTTTAATTCAGTATTACCTTTATTTTTTGTAATTTACAAGTTAACACTGTGGACATGGTTTCTCGAATTGTAATTCGAGTACAGATATAAGAAGTCATTTCCCTGGCACTACCCTTACTAGAATATTGTTAGCTTCCTCTAGAGGGTAGTCTTACGCTTTGTAATGTTGGAAAGAGAAATGTTTAACTTGTGCTTACATAGAATTATTATGTGATTAAACACTTTTAGACATTTCTGTGTCTTAACAGTACATTTGTTTCTTCTCGCTTTATATTTGTGTTTTTTTCTCAAGATTTCCGAAAACTTTTTTTTTGACCTAAATTCTGAGCAAATGAAATCGATGCTCCGGCCTCACATTCAGACTGCCGCCATCTCCACTCTCGCCCGTTCCGCCATCTTCTCCATTACCTACCCCTCACAAGACGTCTTCCTGGTCATAAAGGTGGGACACCTTTTTTTGTATTTTCATTTTAAGAGTTTGACATGCCTCCAGTCTCATCAGCCGCAGTTATTTTTGCCATCACCGTTCTCTATCTGAAATCATTAAAACCCTCTTTTCTTTAGTATACCGTAATTATATATTCATGGAAAAAAGAAACGCAACATCTCCTCCTCCACAATCTGGCCCTCCCGTCTGTGTGGTACAGGCTGAAGAGTGACTCATCGGTGAAGAGGACCTGATGCCACTGCTGACAAGTCCATCGCAGCCTCTGTCTGGCCCAAGCCAGTCAAGTGTGATGCTAGGAGGTGTGAGCAGAGGGCCTCTTGACAGCTAGCCTTGCTCTAAGGCCAGCAGCATGGAGCCTCACTCTCCTGTCACTAATGCGGGCATTGTGTCTATTGGCAGTTTCAGCAGCAGTACGGGTCTGCTCAGATGTGGTCACTTGAGGGTGGCTGGATCTTGGACGGTCATCAGACCTACTGGTCTGCTGAAACCTTCTCTGCAGCCAGGACACAGTGGAGTGGGTTACTCCATAGTGTCTGGGAACACTTGCACATGACATGCCTGCCTGCAGCATGCCAATGGTCCTCTTCCTTGCTTCTGGTGACATTCAAGGCATTATGGAATGCACAGAAAACTGACTACTTATGGCCTTTTTCTTGCAGTGACCTAAGCTTTGAATTAAGGCCTTTTTAAAGGTGACATGATCAGGCATTGTTCCACCTGGACCTTGTTGGGTAAATGTGCACCTAACGAGCTTCCATGTGATTGGCAAGTTGCAATGCCTCACTGCACAAGCTGTATTGCTGGTCTGAGAGCTTAAAACAAATTGACAACTTTTTGTGAAAGTACATAAGCTATAACTAGAGTATTCTCATTCCAGAAAATGTTGCGTTTCTTTTTTCTAACAATATATATTCTTCATTTTTATTGGGTTTTTTTTTTGCATTTCTTTCCTGTCAAGTTCTTTTATTTTCTCTGATACAAAGTCCCATTTCTTGTGTTTTGACAGCTGGAGAAAGTATTGCAGCAGGGTGATATTGGAGAATGTGCTGAGCCATACATGGTCTTCAAAGAGTCTGATACAGCCAAAGTAAGGAATATTTACAATCACTTCTTACCAGATGTTGATAAGACTTTTTTTACAGGTTATAAAAATAATAGAATTATTAATAGGTGGCACTTATTTGGACAAAGGATTTGATTGGGGCCTTGTGAATCAGGTTACCCTCCCTGACTGTTGTAGCTGATACCCAGGCATCGTTCAGAAAACAAATGGATAAATAAGCTCTTAACAACGGCTCTTGTTTGTAACTTGTGTTTTTACTTCTTACAATTTTTATTTTTGAAGTGCATTCTCTTCAGGTGTGTAGGGCTCCATTGTTTATTTTCTATGTATTTAAAAAAAAGCTGAAGATTGTGTTTTATCCATCCACCAAATTGAATTAACCTCTATCTTGGTTGCTTAAAGAAGTTTTTTTTTCCTGCTTTATATCATGCAGAACAAGGAGAAGCTGGAGAAGTTGCGAAGCCAGTCGGAACAGTTTTGTCAGAGGCTGGGGAGATATCGGATGCCCTTTGCCTGGACAGCGATCCACCTGATGAACATTGTGAACAGTGCTGGTAGCTTGGAGAGGGACACCACTGACCTGGAAATTGGAATGCCGGGTAAGCGACGTTGTCAGGAATATGAACTTAATTCATGCCTAATTAATATTTCTTTAGTAAAACGCAATCCCAGCTTGAATGCTGTATAGCAGCTTTTTTCAAAGTATGTATTCTCCTGAGACAAATTTCCAAACCCCTCTATCTAATTACATGCAAAAGGAGTTACAGCGTTGTGAAATATAATGTATTAAATCTTCATGCTTGTATTGCCACAGAGAAGCAGAACGTGAAAAACATTCTGCCCCAGCAGTTTTTGTTGAAGGTCATTGTGGCTGAAATGTTAATTTGCCAACTTGATTCTTTGTTACACTCAACATTATGAATTCTAAAACAATCTACAATGTTTTTGTATTTTGAATATATATGGATATACTATATTTGTATATAAAATATTGTTACAAATAGAGGATTACAAAAATAGAGAAAAGCAAAGGAACTGACAAAGTGGATACATCAATAAGTAACATCATAACCCCCAACTTGTAAAGATTTTGCTAAGAATATACCCGAATGGTTGGTTTACTTAGAGGCACATTAGTTTTCTGTTCTCTGGCAGAGCTTATGTGACAAGAGTAATGTTGGGTTAAACAAATATGTCTTAATAGTGGCAATACTGACACTAAAATATGCAGAACAGAAACATACAACACACAAGTAATTCTTATTTACAAATATACAAATAAAGCATCCCAGAGGTCTTTATCCTAACCACCCAGAAAAACAAGTACTCAATTCTTAAATAATGCCTACAGTGACAAAATAAAGAGATAAGCTGCCTTTTAAACTAAACAGAATACATCCTACAGATCAATCTCTCTCTGTAAACCGGATGCCACAAAATAAATGGGAATCTATCTCTCTATCATAAAAATGCACCCACTAACCAGGAGAGGCCATTTTTAACCTAGGGATTCTTTCCACAGGAAATTTGAGATCTCTAAGAAACGTAAAATAGCAAGCTCTCTTAACAGGGTTCAAATACTAAGCTTAAATCTGGTCTTTGTGGGTGATGTGGAACAGGAAACTCTCGTCTTTCTTGTCTCGTCTCCCCTTCACTCTGCCCCTTTATGATGTCTTTCTGGACTGTTAATCAACGTTGGACATTCAATCATTTACCCAGAACTTGATTAACTAAGGTAAACTTTACGATTGCTTTGATCACTGAATCTGGGACCACTACATCACGGCAAACATCCCCTTGCTTTGAAGCTGGAAATGTTGACATGAGCCATGTCACCCTGCCACTCACAACTGGAAGCCCACTGAAGCTAAGCAGGTGTGAGCCTGGTCAGTACCTGGATGAGAGACCTCCTGTGATCATCATAATAATAATTGCTTATACTTATATAGCGCTTTTCTGGACACTCCACTTAAAGCAACCCATTGTATCTAGATTCTTAAAGACACTTCATACCAATATTTTAAAATAAAATTCTAACACATGACATGCTGATTTTGTTTTTGGTTGCATTTGTTTGCTGCGGCGGTACAACGCTGTGCTTGTTGCCATGGTGAAGAGCGCAAAGGCTCCTGGTCAGAAAGGAGGAACTCGAGCATTGTGGGCCGCCGATCTCTCGAGAGGACAACCAGTGGAGACGAGTCTTGCAACCTGACGAGTTTCCGCCCTGCCACACTTACTGTCACCAACTTCTTCAAACAGGTGAGCTGGGTTCCCAGGCTAACAAAAAAAAAACGAGTGTGTGAACAGGACTGAAATATTTCCAACCTTTTCAGGAAGACGTGCATTTTTGCATCAGCCAGAAGATCGTAATGTTATTAATTTAGTACTTTGTAGTACTTCCTGAAACCCAAAATGTTAAATCAATTTCAGTGATCAAGTATAGAACTGTCCAGTGAGCCTTTGATGCATCATAGAGTCAAAATCCAGAGAGTGAGTCTTTAACCATAGGTACATCTTAGTTGTTTACAAAGTATTGTTTTAAGTTTAAGGATATCAAATGCTATTTAAGGATCTCTGAATAACATCTTTAAATAAGTATAAGATTGTAAGTTAGTTACTAACAATAAAATGGGCTAGATGGAATGAATGGGTTTGTGTCATTAGTACCTTCATGTTCTGAGGTCAAATCTGAAACACAGAAGAGATACAGAAGTGCTCTGTATTGTATATCTTTTGGATTTTGGTAGGAGGGAGACCGGCTGAGTGATGAGGATCTGTACAAATTCCTTGCAGACATGAGGAGGCCTTCTTCAGTTCTAAGGAGACTGAGACCAATCACAGGTACAATTGCACAAAACAAAAGAATATTAAGCAAGGAAAACAGTCTCCTTTATTTAATGGCTTTGTAGTGCCTTGTGTTGTATTTCCGCTTTTGAAAGAAGACAATTCATGTGCAGAGGTTACAAACATGTATCAAATTCTGTCTGATTTGTAGAGCTAGTGATTCTGAGAAGAGTGAACTCTACCTCACAGATCTATTTCCTGGCTACACATTTGCAAGGCCCACTGTTGCACAATAAGAAGAGTTGAGGTTGCTCAAACAGAATGCTAACCCCTCCTTTTGAGAACAGATACCAATTATATGATTGTGGGTCCCTTTAATAACATTCTTGGGTTTTGTCTGTGCTCCTTTGTTTAATGTATTTTCTGTGTTCACAGCCCAGTTGAAGATAGATATCTCGCCTGCCCCAGAAAACCCACACTACTGCCTGACTCCAGAGCTGCTACAGGTCAAACCCTACCCAGACAGCAGAGTCCGGCCCACTAGAGAAATACTGGAGTTTCCAGCAAAGGACATTTATGTACCAAACACAACATACAGGTACTGTCCCTTTTATTCTGTACTAATGCAGACATCACCCTTTGTTAATCTTGGTTACTAAGGGAGAGAGGACAAACAGCTTTGGCACACTGTGGCAATCATTGTGCATTTCAAAAATTGATTTACAGTATTAACAGATCTTGAGCTGTTAGAAGCCAGAAAGAATGGCTGATACTTTTTTTAATATTGAAGAACAATATATTTACTTACCTGTTTAAAGTAAGGGCAGTTTCTAATTTACTGCTTTACTGTGGTAAGACACAAATCATCTCTTCAGTGCTGACAATGCAGTTTGTGCTGCTATTTTGAGTCAAGGCTGAATTATCCTAACAAGATGGGACACAGTTCTTTTTATCTGTGTACATAACCAACTTTTTTAAGGTCATGTTTGCCTTTGATGATAAAAAGAATAATCTGTTCCCCAACAGAGATAGTCCTATAATTATCTAAAACTAAAAGCTTGTCAACAGCTTCTTGGAAATTGCTTATAGTCTTTGAAAATAATTGTATTTCAGTCTCTGAAGATGTAATTGTATGCATATGTTTTTCACAGACTTTAGTTTCTAGTGCATATTCATATTTGAAAAGATAAAAAATGTGTAGAGCATGTTTTTGAAAGTGCAAAAGGCAACTAAATTCTAGTGCACGTGAAGAGCTTCTTATAATTTTCTAAATTTAATTCCTACATCAAGAAGAAGGATATTGGTGACTACGTACAGACAGTTTTGGGATGGTTCTATTTTTGGATTTCCTGGTATGGAATCCTAAGTGAAATTAGTGAGACTACTTCAGAAGAAGCCAGTGGATCTAGTAAAATCTACATTAAAGGAACAATGCTATGAAATTGCAGTGAAGAGAGTCATGAATTTGTGTTTCATAAATATGATTTATTATTACTTCCCAGGTAATGAGGAAGCGTCTGTAAACATGACAGTTACAACCTTTCGTAACAAAATATACAGTACAGTTGTGTATGCAGAACAACGACTTTGCAACGAGTCAATATGACCCAGTATTGTTTGAAGACATGATCCAACAAACTAATTGCTTTTATGCATCACTTCTTTTTTGATCATTTGGAAATTTTCATGTTACCAGTGTTCTATTACAGATTGTTTAAATATTTTAAGTTAGAAAACTACAAAAACAAAAAACAAGGCTAAACATGTATTAGTGTCTGTATAAACAGAAGAACTTCCCGTTTATGTTAAGGTGTGATCTCCTTATCAATAGCTTATCTGTGAAGTTAAAAACGCTAGGAACCACATGCAATTGATACACAGCTGTGTATACTTCAGTGTGAGATGCTGCTTGTAAGAGTATAAAACAGGGTTTTGTGTTTCCCAGTGCTACCCCATGTGAAAGCTTGTCAGCACGCATTATGTGAATCGCTTGTAGATAAAGCCTGAAAAACTTGTGTTTATGCGACAGCCTTGCTTCACTGATCCATTGTGTGTTTTTCCGTCCACAATACTGCGAGAATTTGTAAATCATCGGTAGCTTCACCGCCAATAAATTTAAATGCGCGCATCAGCTTAACGAAAGCTTCCGGCGTCAGGGGCAGGGCGGATGGCGATCTTAGTTGACTTGAGGGAGTAGGAAATGCCCCTGCCTGGTTTCCAGTGGATCCCCCTCCTCCTGTCAGTCTTGCCCCTGGACTTCGTTCTGATGTATCTGCCATTCAGGTTGGTGTCCCCACACGCGTTGAACCACCAGCCACCTGGAGAAGACAAAAGAAGAGCTTTGTGTGCATTCTGTAGCATGACCCTCGACATAATGGTCGCTTTTATCTGCAGCAGGATGTGAAATATCAATGAAGAATCACATCGTTTAATTTTCTGGCTAGTATTATTACACAGTTTATTCTGTGTTTGAATGTTGTATATATGCTGTCATTACAAAAAAAACTAAATTCCCTCTATCCTCATATTTTACTTTCTCTGTGCGATTCTGAAAATGGGAATCTTGTCAGATTTAGTTTCACACATCCCAAAATCCCGGAGAGATGGATGCTCCATAGATTATTTTCATAATTTATGTTGTGCTGTTATCTGATGTCTCAAGAGAAGTTGTGTACCTGAGTAATTCTCTGCGCAGTTGGAGTCTTTCTTGTTGTCGTTGTCTTGGTCCTTGGTGGAGAACCTCATCCCAGTCTGGTTGGTCATAGCGTTCGGCAAGTTTCCAGAGATCGGTGTCAGGTGAATCATGTAGTCTAAATCTTTGCCCTCCAGACTGAACTGGTACTCAATAGACCGTTTCTCATTTCTCCAGTCCTCCAGCTGTATTTGGAGAATATAGTCTCCTTGCTTAGAAATTGAATGAATTTTCTCCAGACCCAGCCAGAACTCACCTGTGTAAGACAAGTAATTCTATGTTCATGGCATGACTAATATTGCAGTGTACAAAGAAGTGAAAAAGAATCTGTTAAGGCAAGCTAAGGTTGTGCTTGTTTACTGGTGTTAATGCATTCAGACTGTTAAGATCGAATATGCTGACTGGATTTCTTTAGGAGATGGGTAAATTGTCATTTTAACTCCAGGTCCATTGTTAATAGTTTTGATTATGTCAGTTGCATTTTAAAATTAACCTAAGCTTTCTACTAAAAAATATGAGTGTGTTTGCGATAAGAACTAATTGTATCTTTTGGCAAATGTCCAGTTTAACTAGTATAATGGCTTAATGGCTTAAAGTCTTTTAAGCGAGGCAGTAAAGATAACAGCTCTGTCAACTGTGTCCTGATTTGCTGAGGTAATTTTTCCTAGTGCTTCCAAAAAGGAAATACTTAAAGGCCTTCGGTGTCTGTTAATCAATTACAGGATGCAATCTTTTTGTGCATTAAGGCTACTGAAAAAGGAAAAAAAGGGGTAATCTTAGGTCTGCTATTCTCCGAGACAACATTAAATCAGTTTTCAAGTCTAATAATTGTCTACACAATAAAAAATTGCTCATAGACTGGGTTATTCATCTTGGAAGCTTTAACTTAAACAATTATTACTAACTTACTTTCAAGATTGCCAAATCCATTTTCATATTTTTCCCAAGTCTGGTCAAAATCCACTGACCCATCCATTCTTCGCTGCATAATCGTATAGCCTCCCTCTGTTGGCAGATTTAAGTGATTAAGAAGAGAAATTCACTTATAATAAAAGGTATATGAATTCAGACTAATGATAGTGCTAAGTGTATTAGCCAAAATGTCCATTTTTAAATGCATTACTTTGCAAGTCTGTTTGATGTTTTGTAAGATTTCGTTATTCCTGTGCTGAGAAGATTTTTCTTTGATCTAAGTTCTAGTCAGCCAGCTTCTACAGAGTCTTCTTGAAGCTGCTTGGGAAGATGTAACGGGGGGAAGTGAATTAACACCACATAAAGCTATGAAGCCTGTTCAGAAGGCTGTGCACTGTGCTAATACAGCAGTTATCTCCTTCCAGTCAATTTAACAGAATTCAGGTGGTGTTTTAGCAGAAGACCTATTAGAATGAAAAACAACACTCAGTCGACTTGTAATGAGCAAGTTTGAAAGTGTTTATTTGTAGTTAATTGTCACACTGAAAAATGGAATGAAGATTGTTAATTATGTAATATATTAAACTCACAGTATCTTGTAATAGCTGGTAAAAAAATCTGTGATTTTTAAAGGTTGTAGATATAGGTATAAGTAATAGGTTTATTCCATGTTGAAAAGAGAAGAAAGAAAACACAACGTTTCGGCCTTGGAGCCTTCTTCAGGTGTGAGCCTCCTCAGGTGTGGTTCCTGACACCTGAAGAAGGCTCCGCAGCCGGGACGTTGTGTTTTCTTTCTTCTCCTTTCAGCATGGAATAAACCTATTACTTGTTCCTTTGCAGCCTACACATGTTGATGCAGCTACCTACCTGAACTGATATAGGTATAATATATGTTTTGGATGACTATAGTAATACACTTTTGCTTACCTTCTGTCATGTCACAGTACACATTAAAAGGCTCTGATTGATTTGGCTTGATTGGATAAACACCACTTGTTTTCTCTCCTCCATTGTAAATATCTTGGCAGTCAGTAGGGAGACCTGAAATACATAAAAGCCATGTTCCTCATCAGCTTGGGAATAATGTACCCTGCTTTTAAAACTACTGTATATTAAATATTTCTTTGCACATTTAGGATCTTGTTGTACTTGCCATTTGTGTTGAAGGTTTTGCTTGTTGAGTTCTTCTCAAGGTACCCAACAGGTGTTAGTTCTTTAGGTTTTGAAGAAGGGGATTTTTCATTCAAGTCTTGGAAAACATCATATTTGAGCTGAAATGAGAGTGAGGGTGTTGAAAATACTGCAAAATCCTGGCAGATGTCAAAAACATTTTTCAATGAGGGACATTTTTCATAGATAAAATTCAATAAGTAATAAGGTCCATATTATATGTAATCTGTTGTGGTCATCATCGGTCATCTGGGATATTTTTTTCAGTAGTCTGTAGGGGAAGGTAATGAGGAATTTGAGTTTCTTTCTTCTCAATGTGGCTCATTCAGTAAAAACATACCTTTTCTTCCAAGTTAATTATTTTGTTCCTTTGATAATCCAGCTGGTCATTTTGTTCTTTAACGGCTTTTAGAAGTTCTGTGATGCTTTTCTCTTGTGCATCAATTACATTCTGGAAAACCAACAAACAAAACATTGCCATTTTCACCTGTGTTTAATGTTTTTTCTAAAGATGGTCTTAAGGGTGGTTTTGAATGAATGCATTTATGTTTCTTTGAAACGACAAGATATATGGATTTATTTATTTAGTGTCATCCTTATTTTGTCATGCCTGTAAAATCCCATCGTCGTAGGATATAATTATATAGATTTTACAATTTTGCCGTTTTACAGATTAGCACCTAATGCAAAATAGAAGAAGCATGCCGTTATAATGCATTAGACAGACACTGTGAATTTGAACGGTTGAAGTGTCACCACTCTTACCTTGAGCGCTGAAATCTCTTTCAGTTCTGTTGCTTCAGGTAGGCTTTCGGAGAGTCCACTCAGCTTCTCCTCCAGACCCCCCACCTTCGACTGTAGTTGCGTCCGATCTTCCAGAATACTGTTGATCTTGTTGTTGATTTCAAAGGACATGTTCTTGATCTCCTCATTGGTGGCTTGCAGGACGGTGGTGGTTTTCTTCAGCTCTTCCTCCTCCTCTTTGATCTCACTGGTCATGAGCGAGAGCTCGTAGAAGGACTTATCAAAGATGTTGAGCTTCTTGAAGATGTCATTGATCTGACTTTTGGTCTTGTGCACAAAGTCTTTCAGCCCGCGACCCAGCTGTAGGAGCCCATTGGCTAATATGCGGACGTCGTCCAGCATGGCAAATCTGGACCGTGTTTCTGTTGGTGCATGAGTGAAGGTTGGGTCTTCCTCTTTGCTGGAAAACGTGCAGGGTAAAAGTAGGAAAAGGAGTAGGAAAAAGTAATGAGACTTCATCTTTCGAAAATCCTGTCTGTGCTGTTATTGAGTGTGTCTGCCTTGCTGTAGAAAGGGTGCCTGACAATTCAATTCAAAGTATCTCCTATATATACAAACTGTGGGAATGGCTTGATCATTAACCACATTATACTTGAACTAATGTACCCCTCAATCCTCATAGGAGGATTGGGAAGAACAAACAAACCATGCACAAATAGACCTCTCTCACCCTCTCTGCTTTTTCCCAAAGAGCCCAGTAGCTGAAAAGTGAAAAGAGGAGCTACAGGGCTATAAAACTTTTTACGAGTTATTTGTCAAAGTCACTGATTGAATGATCTCATTGCAGAGTTAAAAGAATTATTCCACTCACAAACTCAAATTTGAAGCCCTCAAGTGGGCCATTAAAGAAACATTCTAGTAGTGATTCATGAAGGAAATTAATAATACAGCATGCAATTTAAGGTTTTCAATTTGTTATAATAACCTTTTTATATCAACCTTGGTTAAATACTGTTCCCTTAAGTAGTCTTCAGTACTGACTCTAATGGAAAATGTTAATCAATATTGATGCCACTAAAGCTTGCATTATAAATATTTTCTTCTGTATGTGTAGTATGTGGAGCCATTTTTTTACCACCTTACCTGTTAACATATTAAATCCAGTATTTTCATCCTAACCAGGTAGCTATTTCTACTATGTATGTTACTGTCCTTATCTATGTTGGACCCTTGTCCATCTGCTATTACTGTATAAAGCTGTTTATTGTGGTGACAATCACCACACATGACTGCTTTCTGCCAGACAGGATGATAGTCCAATGGAAGGCAGTGTTAAAAGGCACATCCAATTATATTTGCCCGCATGCCTTTGGGTGGTGGAAGGAAATCAAAGCATCTGGCAAAAACCCACATGAATATAGGGAAAACATGCAAACTCCATATGGACACCCATGAACTTGGTCGAACCTGGGATTGCACCACACAAACCACTATGGTACCCTTGCAACCTGCTTCTACAGCATTTACAGTTTGCTTTTTGAAGCAGGTGCTTTTATGTCTTAAACTTATGTTGTTACACCTCAGTTTGTAGATGTACTCTCACTTCAATGCTGTAAGGTCAGGCATGACTTCCAACACTACTTGGCAGAGAATGTTTTTGGACCAGCGTTGTGCTACATGTGTAACTCCACGAGTGAAAGGCAACCCCTTTGTCTCTTGAGAAAGCAGTCCCATTATATTCTTGTCAAGGGTCATAACCTACAATGCATCTAATGTTTCGAACAAGTACATTTGTGTCTGCGCAACCTTTTGCTTTCAAAGTTAAATCCCTGACATTAGATCCCGGGAAGCTGTACTTTACAAACATATGGTATCAAGCCAAGTTTTGTTTAACTTCATAATGCTTTTTGTGTTTTCTTTTCATGGCTATTAGTCAATTGTTTTTCTAAAGTGTTTCTTAGGCAACCTCATTTGTCACTGCTGTTGGTGATATTTTTTAAAGTTTTATGTTTGTCTGTTTAGTATTACTTTGTGCAACTGAAGTTTCCATGTGTTTGTTTTGTAAAGAAAATATGCAGAATTCACTTCCGATCAACAGTGGTCAGTCTTGTGACTGTTCAGGTCATAATGCCCTGACACTAGGACAGACAGACCATTTTCTCCTTGTGTATGTAGTCTGCTTCAGATTATGTATGAAAGAGTTGTTTTGAGATGATACAATAGAAATCTATATATAGATATGATCCATTTGATCACTGTTAATTCAATATAATTGGAAACTGCCACTGAATTTCATTTTAGCTGCCTTTCAGATTGTAATATCTGAAGAGGTGTTAGTGGGGCCAGCAGGGGGTGCTCACCCTGCGGTCCATGTGGGTCTTAATGTCCCAGTATAGTGACGGGGACACTATACTGTAAACAGGTGCCGTCCTTCGGATGAGACGTAAAACCGAGGTCCTGACTCTCTGTGGTCATTAAAAATCCCAGGGCGTTTCTCGAAAAGAGTAGGGGTGTAACCCCGGCGTCTTGGCCAAATTTCCCATTGGCCCTTATCAATCATGGCCTCCTAATAATCCCCATCTATGAATTGGTTTCATTACTCTGCTCTCCTCCCCACTGATAGCTGATGTGTGGTGAGCGTTCTGGTGCACTATGGCTGCCATCGCATCATCCAGGTGGATGCTGCACATTGGTGGTGGAGAGGAGTCCCCATTACCTGTAAAGCGCTTTGAGTGGAGTTTCCAGAAAAGTGCTATATAAGTGTAAGCAATTATTATTATTAATTATAATATACAAGTAATATAAATTTGAATCTTGAGGTTGAGTACAAACCTGTTCTTTTCTTGCTTTTATCTCAATGGCTTTTCTCTTTATTTTACCTTCATTAGACCTTTATATAGTACATAACTAAAATAATCTTTATTAAGTAAAGTTAGGGTTATATATATATAGGTTTTTATTAACTCTTCAGAATGGCCCTTTTTGTCTTTTAAGAAAAAATGGTTATGATTAATCAAGGGTCTCATAGTAAGAAACTGGAATTACCTTGATTATGTTGGGGTATGTTGATTATGTTGAAGTTCACAGACCTTTTGTCTCTATTGTATGAATTTACATTGCAAGATCCACAGAGTCTGACAGAAGATGCTGGTTAGAGGAGCTGTGCATCTTTTGCTGAAGCCGTATCATTGGATAGTTGTGCCCCGTTCCTTAGAAATCCCTGGTCACAGGCTGGTCGGTTGTAAGTGTAAGACTCTCGAACCCAAGAGCTCAACCTGTGCACTGAGCAAGCACATTTTTTTTTTAAATCACTTTATTAACCCTATACAATTTCTTGCTTCAGGAATTTGTCTTTTCGCATACCCCAGCTTGCTCTCCATGAGACACACAGACACACAGACAGGGAGAGACCCTGGGGTCAGAGCGCAGGGTCAGTCATTGTACACCGCCCCTGGAGCAGCTGGCGTTAAGGGCCTTGCTCAGGGGCCATACGGAGTAGGATTCCCCTGCCGGCTGCGGGATTTGAACTGGTAAACCTTCTAGCCACAGGCACAGATCCTTAGCTACAGAGCCACCACTCCACCCCAATGAGAACGCTTAGCAGAGGTTGGTTTTCTGGTCACTTGGGAGCCTCTGTTAAATGTGTGCATATATTTTTGAAAGATTTTTTTCCCTGTAGCAGTTCAAACCAATGCATTCGTCCACCAAGAAGATAAATTGTTCATCATGCATTTTGTGCATGATCACCTCATAGAACACGTGTGGTTAAAAGCTAATCCATCCAATGGCAGATTTGCCTAGCACCCAGTCTGTCTGTAGACACAGCAAACACTGTCATTGTACCAGTGTTTATTCAGGGCTTTTGGCTTACTCATTGGGGGAGTGGGGGATCATTTCTAGGAGGAGGTTGGTGGCTAGCAGAGGATTTTGTAATTGGTGCCAGAAGAACCAGTACACATTGTCAGGAAAAAAGTATTTATTAACTTGATGATAAAACAGTCAAGTCCAATGACATAGGTGTTTCTAGATCTGCTGATATGCATGTACCAATTATAGTGCTGGTGCAATCTAATAAATGTGTCTTTTTAAACTTTTCAGTCCTATTTTACTGCTGCTCTATGTCCTCCGTATATCAGATAGGCATTTTAACATAAAAGAAAATAAATAAGACCTCTCAGTGGTTTGTCTGATTAAAGGGGAATTGTAATTTGTGTATTGTTTCATTAAAATTTAAATATAAACAGATTGCCTTGTTGAGAACAGTCAGTATGTAAGAAAAGTAGTTTAGGAAAAAAAATTGTAAACCCTTTGCCAGTCCCTTGTGAATCAACAATGGAATCATCACCACTGGTGCCACTATTGCAGGCTGTTTTTCTGTGCATCAGGAGAAAAACATTTCACATCCCTCAGGGTTGGCCTCAGGGAACTGAACCACAATAGCCTTTTATGCTCCTTTTCAGGACAGGAGGCTTGGTACACTTATTCATTTTATATGAAAACAAAGCCAAAGGGCATGTTTGTGTTTATAATTATATGAAAAGCATGTTACAGTTTGTTGTCTTCCCATTTGGGTTTTCTTAATCGAGAACCGAGAGCTTGATTAGTATTGCATCACCATCAGAGAGTGGAGTCTTGCCTGGGAATTGAGTTTTGGCAATAGGCTGTCCAGAGTTTGTGTTGAATTTGCTCAAGTTTAAAAGTTTTTTTTGTGTGTGTGTGTGCGTTTCAGCAGAAAACATAAAATACATTAAAGTTGCAGCGTAGAGGCTTGCATGGCTTAAATGTGTAAAATAGGACATTTGTACTCTAAACCCCTCCAAAAGCCTCCTGAAGCTTCGTAATCAGTTTTGCCTTGATGCGGAGAACATGGGTGAAATCCTGGTGCCTTTGTGATCACATTTTTGATTCTTTATTTTTAACCTATGAAGAAATTTGTTATCCAGTTGTGGAAGCTTGCACTGATTGGATGGCTGCCAGATTGTGTCCATTAGGTGCTGTAAGAAAAAGCTTTGTGTCTCAATTTGGTACTGCCGTGTCTTACTACAGCGAGGTAATTGATTTGCCCGCGAGTTTATGCTAATGTTTGCTAAGGGAATTAAATGTAGCTCCTTTAATGTATCAAATGGATCAGCCTAGGCCATTAAGTAACAGTTTTGCTCCACATTTATTTGATAGTGTTTCAGAGTGCAGATCAGTTGTCGGGGGCAGCGCTGTCAGGAATGGGACTAGCCAAGCCTCTTGGTCTTCTCTCCGCCCATAGTCCCCTTCCCAATCAAAAAAGGCTTTTTAATCCTCGCAGTACTGTCGTTTTTTTTGTTGTTATAACAGGGAACTGTATACATATTTGTTTATTTTATGAGCGTTGGAAATCGCAGCTCTGTTTGTTGCCCAGCTGATGTGGAGTGCGTGTGTGTTTTTCTCATGTCCTGGTTTCACAGCTACAGTCCCTGCAACCCCACACACAGGGCAGAATGAGCTAGAGTATGGAAAATGTTGACGAAAACATCAGGTCTAAAAATCATGAGAAAAAGCAATATAGGTGTTTTAAAAACTCTTAATTAGCTGATGTGCATGCAGTACTGCCAATGAGGGCTTCAGTGGGGGGGAAAAAGAAACCGCTATATTAGGTAAAGCTCTATGTTTCTTTCTCTCTATGCATTTATTCTTTTGCAGAAACCTGTTGTATGTGTACCCCCAAAGTCTAAATTTTGCCAATCGCCAGGGCTCCGCTCGAAACATCACTGTGAAGGTGCAGTTCATGAACGGGGAAGACCCCAGCAATGCCATGCCGGTAAGAAGGCAGCTGCATCGCTGTCCATCTATGTGTCCGAAAGCTATAAACATGAGGCACTGGTGTCACACAATTTCATCCACATAAGGACCAACAATGTCAAACCTTTTGAAAATAAAAAAGAACTGTTGCCTTCTTGAGAGTTGCTGTTCCAGAGCATATGTTTGTTCCCTGAATTAGAACATACACTGCTGACTATACTGATTGCCTGGTTATTGTGGTCAGCTACAACTTCACAACAAAATTAACTAGATTGGATTTGAGAAGTTCTTTCATGCTCACTGTGGTCTTTGTTCTCATACAGGTGATTTATGGTAAATCCAGCTGTTCTGAATTTTCCAAAGAAGCTTACACTGCTGTAGTGTATCACAACAGGTGAGATCTGATCTCTTGCTTTTACAGGGTTGCCCCAGTGTGTGGAGACCAATCAAGATCAATTGGGATATAATTGTAACCTGTGTCAAGAGTTTGTTGTATCATATCCTTGACTGTCTGAACAGTCAACTTTAATCTTTCAGGCAAGGTGGATCTAAGAGATTTTATTTGGGGTTTATAGCCAGATTGGGCTTATGTAATATCATTGCTGGCTTATGTGAATCTGACCAAAGCAAGTTTTTTTCTTTGAACAGACGGTCTTGTGACAGACTTTGAAAGAATTACTAAACTGTATTTGCATATATTAGTTAATGTTTTATTAGCTTTTTGCAACTGCATTGAAAATAAATGGATAGTGAATGATCGGAGTCCTGGGCCTGCATGATAAATTATCATTTATTTTGTGCTGCTTGTGAAGAAAACTGATTCTTTTTCAAATGTATGCCAAACAAGAAGGTATTGAAATCATTGCATTTTTTAAACCCAAATGTGTGACAAGCCTGAATTAAATAACAACATAATTTTTGCATTTTGTTAGGACTCTTATGACCCCTCGATTTTAAAATGAGAAAATAAGTTTATTTTACTGTGCCGAAATAGTGATATTTAAAGACAGTTTGTACATTTCAGTAGAGCCTGCTACTTTATTGTAAATTGAGCAAAGCTGTGAATAAGTCAGCATCTTCCAGTTTATCCTTTAAACTCCTTTAAAGGGAGGAGTGAAGTCTGAACTGAATCTTGGCTGGCTTGCAGTGGCTTCACGTGAAAGTTAGTGTACCCCACTGCCGTGACCTTCAGTGCTGTCACATCTTGATTCCACCTGTCAGAGCCACGCTTCAGCACACTAAAACAAGCTTCACTTCTTAACTGGAAGCTGAAGGCTGATAACAATCCCTGGAACACGGCTGTCCATCCCAAAATTGCTGTCCTAACTTCGGCTTCAGCTTTGTACATAGTTTTTGTTCCAGCAGTCGAATGATCCTCTTTGTCGCATTAAAAAAGACCCCACTTGTTTTGTTTTAGATCGCCGGATTTCCACGATGAAATAAAAATCAAACTTCCTGCCTCTTTGACGGATCACCATCACATCCTCTTCACGTTCTACCATGTCAGCTGCCAGCAGAAACAGAATACGCCCTTGGAGACGCCAGTGGGATACACGGTGACCATCCCCGTCCCTTCCACCCGCAGGATAGAGGCTTGCAAGCCTTAATAGTTTAAAGAAGTGAATTTGTACTCTTCAGCACTTCACTTCACCAAAACCCTTCTGAATCTTTGTAATAATCAGTTTTGCCTTCATCAGGAGATCATTGGCAACACCTTGGTGCATTTGTGATGGTATTTTCGATTTTTAAAATTTTTAAACAGGGCTCAGGTCTGTCAGCTCATGGTGGTAGCATCAGAAGCATTCAGGACTGGAAACATCAAAATTAAAACCCATTTCTTCTAATCTTTTTTTGTTGGACAGCACTTTTACTAGTCGTACTAAGAATGTCGTAATGAGAGTGTTCATTACGAGGGGAGATGTTCCAACTGCAGAGCTTGGTCTGTAAGCAAGTGTCTCGCTTGTGTGTTCTCAGTGGATACCGATGCTGCAGAATGGCCGTCTGAGAACGGGACACTTCTGTCTGCCTGTGTCTTTGGAGAAGCCCCCTCAGTCCTACTCGGTCCTCTCCCCTGATGTGAGTTTCAACTCCCCCTATCAGTCAGCCACTCTGGGCTGCGAGTCGAGAGCTTGGCTAAAATACGTTCTCTGACTGCAATGAATTTCAAACCACTATAGAATAGCTGAGTAACGTATCCATCTCTGTGTAATTGTGGGGTAGCAAAGGTATCATTAAGTTAAAATAATGCAGAATGCCAATGACTCAGGTCACAGGTACAGTTATGGACTTGTCCTGGGTTGGGATTATTATATGTTCTAAAGGCTCTGACCTGTTTGGACTGCTAACCTACCAAGAAAGTATCTTTTAAGTCTTACTATGAGAAAATATTGCAAAGAAGAGATTGCTTTCATGCTAATGAAATGGTCACTATCAAGTAGAGTTTTTGTTAAAAAAACTGCTAAGATAAAAATGCTGACATTACAAATGTGCTGTTCATTTTATTAAAGGTACCCATTAAGTCAGAGCTCCTAACCCTTTTCTTTTTCCTCCCAACTTTATAGGTGCCGCTTCCCGGAATGAAATGGGTTGATAACCACCGAGGTGTCTTCAATGTCGAAGTTGTGTCAGTTTCAACAATTCACACGCAGGTAGAAACGCAGCCACTTGCACAGGCTGCTGTTGCACATGTGTGCTGTTGACAAAGGCTTGAACATTTGCAGAGCAGGAAGTTCTATTCAGAAAAAGAATTGTTCGGTTTGATTAATCATTGCCACAATTAGTACACAAAAAGTGATGAGCGTCTGGTTAATACACTATATCCACCGAGATCTGGAATGGATTAAAGTGTATCGTTTTTTTTTAGGAATGTGCAAACTTTGTACACAGCTGTATTATCTTACGTCAGTAGCTGTGGTGCTTTGGTAGCTGTGTTACAGAAGATAGATGCTTAACATACTGTTTTGTTTGTTGAGTAATAGACCATAAATAGAAGTCTAGAGGTTTACTGAGTAAAAGGATGTGGTGGTAATTCTCTCAGAACAGAGAAAGAGCTATCTGGCCTTCACTAACAGAAACCTATTATCTTCCTTGAATTAAAAAGAAGCACCACAGCCATGACCTGAAACTGACTTCCTTCAAAAAGGAAATGCAGCTTTTTTTTTTCTTTTTGAAGCATAACAGGCTATTGTAAATCCCAGATGGATGATAATGGATGCTTTAATGTTAAAATAGATGCATCAAACTATTCTCACAACCTCAATGCAAAATTAGCAGTAATTGTAGTTTACTGTGGAGGCTGAATTTTAAGTTTAAACTATTCTGTCCTCAGGATTTCTTAAATTTGCACACATAACATTTCACAATATGTTGTATACTGATGGAATGCAAAATTAGCAGTAATGCAAAATTAGCAGTAATTGTAGTTTACTGTGGAGGCTGAATTTTAAGTTTAAACTATTCTGTCCTCAGGATTTCTTAAATTTGTACACATAACATTTCACAATATGTTGTATACTGATGGAAATGACAAGAAACTGTTAAGTCGTGATCTTCTCAATGTTTTAACATTGGATTCACTTTCAGTAACAGGTATCTAATAAACTTGCACTAACGATTGCAGTCATTACATTCATCGTGGTTTTTCTCTTTCTCCATCACCTGTTTGTTTAGGTTAGCATGTTCCTTGTGAAAACAATTAAAAGCTAATAGTCTCTTCTGTCTTTTCTGGTCTTGGTAGGATCAGTACCTGGACAAGTTCTTTGCTCTTGTTCATGCACTGGATGAGCACATGTTCCCAGTACGAATTGGGGACATGAGAATTATGGAGAACAATCTGGAGACAGAACTGAAGTCTAGCATTGCTGCCTTAAATTCCTCTCAGCTGGAGCCAATTGTTCGGTTTCTTCATCTGCTGCTGGACAAGCTCGTTCTGCTGGTCGTAAGGCCTCCGGTCATTGCGGGACAGATAGGTAATCACAAAACAGCTTTGGGGAAAGCGTTTGTCAGTGTTGAATAAAATCTGGAATTTATTGTCATTAGTCCACACTGAATAGTAAAATCACTTTCTTCCTGTTGTTTACCTAGACACTCAGAATTAATGCATGGCCAGGCATTTTAATCTACTACCTATATTAAATGTTTATTTATTAACTTTGTGGTTGCAGTGAACCTTGGCCAAGGCTCTTTTGAAGTTATGGCTTCCATTGTCAACCGGCTCCATAAATACTTGGACAGCAACCAGGACCAGCATGGGAGAAACAGTCTGTTGTCCTCATACATTTATTATGTGTTTCGGCTGCCAAATACTGATCCTAACTCTCCATCACCAGGTGCATTTTATTTTTTATGAATTGTCACTGAGGTAATAATGTCTTTGTTGTGGTTTTTGAAAGGAGACATCATAGGCAAGTTTAAGAGTGCCTTTCTTTTCAGTACATGTGGTCAGCATGATAGAGTACCTATGTAGATACAGTATAGAGCAATATAGAGATGACAAGGGAAGGGTCATAGACTGCAGTCTCTTAATGTTATAGTGAAGTACCGCTTAGTATCATGTGACACGTAATCTTCTGTGCCTATGCAAGATTACTTCAGTGATGTAAATTTAATTCTATTTTTGTAATACTTAAGAAAAGGAAAATGCAATGATCACCATACCTGTTATAGACTGCAAAACAAAAATTTGTGATCTTGAAGTTCTGTCAATTAATTTCACTATTCAGCGATGCTTGCTTCCTAAAACAATTATTGTTTTGCAGGAAGCAACACTCCTTGTTTTGTTTTTTTGCTTTTGTTGAGCACTTCTAATTCAGTACTGAAGCTGCAGAAACAATCAGCTACGAGGGTTCACAGGACAGCAGCCTTCAGTGTCATTGACTTATAGTGAATGCAAAAACTCAGCTTGGCCATTGACCTAAAATGCAACAGATGCCATTAAACTTTAGTTTATTGATTGACTTGAAAATGTGTGCAGTTAATAACAAATCTAACTCAGTTAAATGTAAGGAAAATAGAAACAATTGCAATACAACAAAATGGGAAGGTGATGCTGTCTGGTGTAAAGGATGTCTTGTGATGCAAGAGAGTCTGGTCTAAAGACGTCCGGTTGAAATTATTCACTGTGTACCAGTACAGTAGTTATACAGCTCGAAGACTGTATAATCCAATCTAAAACAACTGTGATTTCTATTATAGTTTTTACAAGGTTTCTGTGTCTGTGTATAAAAAATACTGTTTAGACTTTTTAGAAAAAACAGCTGCTTAGTATGAATACAAAATTTGAGACAACCTGTAAAAGTGATTGTGATTGTGATGGAGTGATTGATTTAATATTATAATATATCCTTTGCTTGATAAACCTAAAACATCTCCTACTATATTTCAGCCTAAGGCCGTCATGTTTTTTTTAAAAAAAACTTATGTGAGAGGTAGGTTTGGGTGTTACCTTCCTGTGATGGTGCATTGCATAAGAGCTTGAAATGAATGGAGTGGTTTATGGTCTGTTCTATTTCTATGCACAGTTTACACTGATTTAATCATGAATATCATGCAGACCCTAGGGCCTAAACAAAGGCACTGACCCTCCCTCTGGTGGTTAATTGTAATAGTGCACCTTTAACCAACACTAGGTTGTTAGATGGGTGTACAGTATTTTTACAATGGAAGTACTGAGCCTGATGGTCTTAGTTTGCCTATCAAATATACGTGTAATGTACTGTTTCATTGTTATAATCTAACTTGCTGTGGCTTTTGCAATTGATATTAAGTACACCCATTCACTGAATTGTAAGCTTTCTGCAAGTCTTTAAATTGGTCGTAAACCCAAATTTGACCCAAACTTCACGAATTAGTCCTACGTCAGATGCGACCCTTTCTGAAGCATTGTGTGAACACGTATAGAGAATTACCGTTCGTGATATTCCTAAAAACGTTTTGCTTACTGAAAAAATATTTTAAAACTCCCTCATTAAAATGATCAAACCTCAAACATACAGTAGCATGCACTTAAAAATGTATGGTACGATAAATAATAAATTATTAATAATAAATTTGAAAGTGAATAGTGCCTTTAAAAACTGTCCATTTCATTACCTAAAACTGTTCAGTAATTCAACACAAAATAAAATAAATGTAAATCCTTAAATAAATGAAAATAAAAGTAATAAAATCTCTTGGGTGCTTCCCTGTCATGACTGCAGTATGTTTACTCACAATTCTTTAGCCAGATATGCAGGGATTGCCACACATGAAAAAGGAAAACTGAGTGTGAAACCGAGCCCTGGTTGCGACTGCATTAGTCTTCCTCCGCACTATTTATCTAACGAGGGAAGTCACCATGCTACTTGCTCGTTATGTTTCTAATGTTAACTTTTTTGTAACTTGAAAATTTTGTTGTGGGAGATAGGAGATATTTCCGTAAAGTGGAACTGGCGCCATGTTAGGTCTTGTGCGCCGCGGGGAAAGGGTTAACGCCTGTCCTCTTTCTCCCGCTCCTCTCTGGAAGGGCCAGGAGGCCTGGGAGGCTCAGTGCACTACGCCACCATGGCTCGGTCAGCAGTGAGACCGGCCAGTCTGAACCTCAATCGTTCCAGGAGCCTCAGCAACAGCAACCCGGACATCTCCGGGACTCCCACTTCCCCCGACGATGAAGTAAGATCAATCATTGGCAGCAAGGTAAGTCTTCCTGCTTGTTTCAGATGCATCCCGTTGCTTCAGTTTGACATAATTTAATTTACAATAGAGTAGGGTATGCTTCCTTTCAGCTGCTGCATGTGTTGCTTTTAAGAAAACAAAATAAAACATAAAAAATAAATAGATAATTCGTGTAGAGTGTTCTTATATGGAGTAGCATTGAATTATCTGCTTTTTTGCCTCTGAATAAAACGTTGAAGACAGTTACTGAAAAACCAAATGAGCTAGATAGACAAATGCCCCCTTCTTGTTTATCAACTTTCTGATGTTCTTGCAAGTGGAGCATCACAGACTCTTTGTACATCTTAGTTTTAGACACTGACATGAGTGTTGGTCTTGATTGCTGGTTCATATTGCCTCTGCACAGTTTGGAAATAGGTCAGGTTAGTTTTAACCGGAATAGACTTATCTAGCCTGTTACCACATGATAAGCAAATCCAATAACTTAGAGCTACTGTACAACTACAGGAATGCATTATCTGTTTAACCCCAAATAACAAGTCTGCTCAAATATAGTGAATTACTGAGGAGCTGATTTGTTAGGCATCATATACTTTTCCTGAATGGGAGTGAATTTCATAGTAAAAGTTCTGGCATGAAGGATGTCTTCTATATATCAGGCCTTTTGTTTGTAACACACTAATAATGAAACCGGTGATATGTTTAATTAAATTGTGATGGTCTTTTTTGTAACTTTCTAAAAACTGATTCGCTTTGTTAACTGTCCAATTTATGCTCTACATCATCTTGCTCTAACCCATTTAGAGTGATGCTTTTCTTTCCGTAATGGTATTAATTGTAACACTCCTTGTAACATTGTAATTGTAGGTTTTAAGCTAGTATTTAGACATTTTTGTGCAGTAAATCAGATGAAGTCATGAAACCTTGTCATGCTGAAGCTGAAAACTTCAATTTCAAAGCCATTTGCTGAAAAAGTTGACCGTCAGAGACTTGACAGCCTCTTTTTGAGTCATGTAAATAAACTCCGACTTTTGGAACCCAAAGTTGAGATCTATGATCCATAAATTTGTAATTTAAACCTGGGTTTTGTTTCTAGATCATAATGACTCCAGAAGTATCTGTTCACAGTTGTCAGGGCTGCCTGGAGGCAGGGCTGCATTTATTAAGCCAGGGCTCCCCTTGGCTCTCAGTGAAACAGTGACACCTGCAGGCTGTCAGTGACATCAGCGAGAGATGCGTCACTCACCCATTCAGTACCAATGCTCCATCAGAAGGTGTAGAGTTTTGGAGCTTGCAGCCCATGAAATAATGAATGAATGGATGGATGGAGGGGTGGATGGAAAGGAAGAGCGTGTCTGCCTTTCCTAATTCTCCCCAGACAGTACAGACCTTATTGCTGAGCTGAGATATAAAGAAAGACGTAACCATTTCCAGTCGGTAGGGTATCAAATGAAAAGTAACATCAAACAATTGAAAAGTGAGCCTGTTGCTGTATTTTGTGCATTATCATAATTTCCTGCAACGTTCTCAACGATAACCTTTCACCATTCCTTCCCTGTGCTGCCCGTTACCCGACCCCTTGCTCTCAGGGGTTAGATCGCTCCAACTCCTGGGTTAACACAGCTGGCTGTAAAGGGGCGCCCTGGGGCGCCAACCCCAGCTCCAGTACTGAATTCATGCAGGTGGTGTCTACCAATAACAACCTTGCACATCCCCCTTTCCTCCAGCCTCCACACTGAGGCCGAACTCACTTTGACCCCTTAACCGCCTACTTCTTTCTGATTTTTGGGGTTAATCAGGTATATAAGAAGATCAGTTTCCACTGCAAAATGTTTTGCAGAATCTCAGAGCTTGCCAAACCATCTGCTTAGACGCAAGCATCCAGCGCTGCCCAGTGTCTTAATACATGCACATCCCTTACAGGATGCTTGATTTTTTTTTTCCTTGCCTCCCACTTTCATTTTTGGAAAGCATTATTGGTAAACATCGCGCTTAAGTGATGACTGCGCTGACAGGCCATAAAGCTCAGGGTCCGGTTAGTTGTTGAAGAGGGTACAGTTCGGGATACCTGCTGGGCTTAAGTGCTGCACCCCTCATAATGGCCTGTTCATGACCTTTGATCTCCTCAGAGCCTTAGCTGACAGAGGCGAGGTACACTGCCTTGCCTTTATCTCCGCCGACCCCGCAACTGTGGTTCAGGTTGCTCTAAAATTCCCAGTGTAGGCGGTTCAGAGGTTAATAGGTTTTTATGATTCTCACTGTTTCATTTGTTTTAAAATCTCCACTTCATCTCATTAAAATCCATGCACGGCTTCCCTGACTAACACCATTGATAGGATTGGTGAAGCATGAGAAAGTCTGCATGTGTCTTCACTCATGGGCATGATTGAGAATGATGTTGGCCTTGGCAGCACTTTTGCCACATATCCATCCCTGCTCCCACAGGTGTTGTCATTTTCTTAGCGGTGTCCTTGAGTTCTAGGCGTGTAGGTGTAGTGGTCAGATTAACTGTTTGGTGTTTTTCTGTCTAACCCATTGCCATTTGGTCATGTTGTGACTGTAGGTTGTTCTGTGGCCTGTCCATAGTCTTGTGGGCCGATACAAGTGTAGAGGTGTTTTGCATCAGTCTGGGGCGTTTTGTTGATCAGTGTTCAGTGGGGCCATGCTTACAAAATCTTTTTGTGTCAAGATGTTCCAGTTTTAAATTTGAATTTAAATGGTTGTGCAGTGTGATTTCTTAATCATTCAAGAAGCCTTGTTAGTGTTCCCTGTTTTATTAGGCAATATTTTGGCACAAATTCACCCAAAAGTAAAAGTAGACAAAAGTTTCCATAGCTTGTAGTTGTCAATGGGATATTTCATAGAGTAATTTTCAGATGTAGCAATTTTACATGTGTAAGCTGATGCTGACCAGAATGTGTTTCGTGTATTACCTATTGTAGTAAGAGACAATTGGTCACATTAAAAGCCTTTTACATCTTCTGTGAGTAGTACAGATCCGTTTGAAAGTCCAAGAGCCTTACCAAGCCTAAATGCTTTGAGCCTAGTGCTACACTATCTGAGTGTGCCTTACTCGTGTAGCAAGTAAGTATCTGCTGCATATAGTAGCTTGTGTGTGTGTTTGTGTGAAGAAAGCACACACTCTTGTTTCTCACTAATCTGTTGTCACCCTTCATTCATCTCCACTCCATAGGCCATGGAGCGAAGTGGCAATCGCATGTCATCGCACACTGAGACTGCAAGTTTCTTGCAAACTTTAACAGGACGGTTACCAACTAAAAAGGTAGAACAATGCACAAATAAAGGCAGAATGCAGAATTTTCACCAGCCTGCGTGATTGTGAATGTTGTCTTCCAATACAGCAAATTGCCTTCGGTGTGATTGGTATGAGTGTTTTTTTTTTCCCCTCAATACAGCCTGAAGGCATTTTAACAAATATAGTCCTCTCTCCCTAGAACATGGTTTGATTCATTTTTCACATGCTTGAGCTAGTTCACTTGCTGAGATGACTGCTATATCCACACTTCATTTGATGCAACGGATTTCAGTCGGACTTAATTCTTATTTGGGTGGGCTTTGAGTGAGTCATTCACATTATTGAAAGACTAATTTGCATTTGCCATGAGGACAAAAAAAAATCTTTCAAGCTGCAGTGCAGCCGGAATAAAAATCCTAGACCCTGCCGTGTTCTATATGAACACTTACTGCTTGTATCTAAACAGTGATAATATTGACAGTGGAGAGGGATGCTTTTCCATGTTTCGTCCAAAAGAAGTATTTAATATGTTTTCCTGCATCGTGTACAGTGTTCTTTACATTGTTTCAGGGCTGAAGCGTTTACATGAAGATGTGCAATAGTTATTTTTTTGTTATATAAATACTTGTGTGCATTATTTACTTACGGTATATTTGCAGATCAATTGCAAGTACTGAAGAAAGCATTAAAACCCTTGTCTTCGGCCAGAAGGACTGTATTTCTAGCGCGTGCTCTTCTAGGTGTTGTGCTGACTCTCAGTCCAGGCAGGCCTGGGTTAGGGTGTCTCATGGCTGCCCTGTCTTCCTGTGCTGTGTGTCCCAGCTGTTCCATGAAGAGCTGGCCCTGCAGTGGGTAGTGAGCAGTGGTAGCGTGCGGGAAGGAGCCTTGCAGCAGGCTTGGTTCTTCTTCGAGCTTATGGTAAGCAAAACATCTACGGCAGAAGCTGTCTCCTCTGACACCTGGTTCCGCTCTCCAGAGGTGCTCGAAAAAGGCCTTTTCCCCAGTGATTGCTCTCTGTTTTGTGTGCAGGTGAAAAGTATAATACATCACTTGTACTTCACGGACCGGCTAGACTCTCCAAGGAAGAATCGCTTCCCTGAGCGGTTTATGGACGACATAACAGCCTTGGTTAGCACTATAGCAGGAGATATTGTCTCCAGGTTTCAAAAGGTGAGGAAAGGAGCCATGTCTTGGCTTGAAAGATGAAATCTCTGTTCATGTACAGAAGTACTCCTTCTTTGTGGTTAGCCTCATTTAGATGTATCCTTTTCTGTTCCCAGGATCTAGAGCTGGTAGAAAGGCTGAACACCAGTCTAGCCTTTTTTCTGAATGACTTGCTTTCAGTCATGGACAGGGGCTTTGTCTTCAGTCTGATCAAGACCTACTGGAAACAGGTGATAGCGTCTTTTCCTATGCTTCAAATAAGACTGAAAACAAGACTGCGGTAAAAATAAACATTAGAACTTATACAATTGTGCCTTGGAAAATTAACTGTTGGTTCTTTTTAACAGGTGTCGACCAAGCTGTATGCTCTTCAATGTCCAACAGTATTGGTGTCTCTTCGATTGGATTTCCTTCGAATCGTTTGCAGTCATGAACATTACGTCACCCTGAACTTGCCCTGCAGTCTGCTGACCCCACCAGCCTCTCCCTCTCCCTCTGTGTCCTCTGCTACATCTCAGGTGTGCTCACACTACTTGCTTCACAGCACCTGCTTAACTGTTTGGCTTGGCATCTCAATCATCTTGATGTGTAACTCAGAAAACTATTACAAGCACAATTGAATCCACCTTTGGCAAAAACAGCGCTTAGTGGAGGGACTATAGCAATCCCAGTATTACGTGTGGTTTGGAGTACTCAACAGATTTTCCATTCTGTATTCACTTTTGACCATCTGGCAATCTCTTATCATTTTATGTTCTAATGGAATAACTTTAAAACATTTAAATAACCTTTGTAGCTCGACACTGTTACCTTAACAAATAATGTACATCTTTATAATTATATCTCTAAAAGAGATATCAAACTGGATCTGTATGTTCATTTATTGTCTCAAACGCAGAGTTCTGGATTTTCCACACATGTCCAGGATCAGAAGATTGCCAACATGTTTGAGCTCTCTGTTCCTTTCCGGGAGCAACATTACCTTGCAGGGCTCGTGCTGACCGAACTGGCTCTGATTCTGGATCCAGAGGCAGATGGGTCAGTGCACAAAAGTGTTGCAGCCTTTTCTGCTGTGTGTTAAGACTGAAACGTTTGAAATTAATTGGTTTAAGCCATCTTTGACTTCTCCTGATTGCCTCCTTGGCCTGATCAAAAGATGGAGAGATTTGCTTTTTAAAGTTATTGCAATCATGAGTTTATTTTGTATGGATTAAGAATACAGAAGAACATAGAAATGATTACAAACAAGAGAAGGACATTCATGTCTTGTGGCCCATTTTTTTAGTAGCTAGAAAGAAACCTGGGTATCTACTTTAACAACATGGTTGCATAACTTTGTTACTTCATCTTCATGTATCTGAGTTAGCCATCCTATTCCATGTTTGGGGGTCCTGCAGTACTCATACAAGAGAGGGAGAGTATACAGTCTGGGTGGTGTTGCAGCCAGTGACGACACGGAGATCACGGGCCCTTGCAAATTCTTAAAGTTTGCAGTTATATCACAGGACTCACTTTAGGTGAAGTCATTTCCACTGAAAGCAGAACACAAACTTGAATTCATGATGTCATATTTGTAGGGCTCAATGTGTGCTCCTTAAAAGTTAATTTTCAGGTTGAACCTCTTGGGAGTTAAAAACTAAAATCTCATAGGTTCTAGTTAGAGAGCAGTCCAGATGCTGTTCTTAACACATGCTAGTTGGGATTTAAATGTCAGCTCTCTCCCTTGCTGCTCTTTTGCAGGATGTTCGGATTGCACAAGAAGGTCATCAGCGTGGTGCACAACCTCCTGTCGAGTCACGACTCCGACCCGCGATATGCCGACATCGAGGTGAAGGCACGAGTCGCCATGCTCTACTTGCCACTCATTGGCATCGTTATGGAGACACTTCCTCAGCTGCACGACTTCACAGGTACCAGAGATCTGCAGCCCCTGGGCGTTCCTGTGAATAAGTGATCCTCATGGCCTTGTTCATGTTTTTCATCTGCTTAGCAGATGCGCTTCTCCAGGACAGCTTAGAGATCTAGATTCAGTTCGTACAATAAGATGACAAAACAGGTAGAATATTAAAGCAAGTAAAATATGAAATCACAAAAGTAGAACATGTAAAAGTAGTGCTTCATGTAAGTATGTGAACCCTTTTATTTTATTTATCTTTTATTCTTATTTACTCATTTCTTTTTCTGTCGCATCTATCAGTTCCTCTAAAGAATATGTGGATGTAAACCTTTTCTTTTCAAAAAGTAAGAACTTGTTTTGATTAAACAAGGATTTCCTAGTAAAAATAACATTTGAAGAACCTTTCAAGCAGCACTGTATCAGCATAAGCATAATACCATGCAGGAACAGGTCAGTGTGTGTATCTGATAGGGAAGTAACTATGCAAGAATAGAGGGAGAGTAAATTTAACATCACTGCATAGAGTGCAGTACAGTGCACAGCTGTGCAGATATTTCAGTTTGAAATCTGAATTACAGTGCCTTGCGAAAGTATTCGGCCCCCTTGAACTTTTCAACCTTTTGCCACATTTCAGGCTTCAAACATGAAGATATAAATTTTTTATTTTATGTGAAGAATCACCAACAAGTGGGACACAATTGTGAAGTGGAAC